TCCTTCGGTGAGGACAGTCATTTCTCCCACCCGTCAAAAGCAAAAGTTGACCCAGCTATGACAACTATAAAAGGGGTGGCTGGTCGTTCACAATGGTCTTCCAGCATTAATTATTGATACTTTAGCTAATTTACATACAACAGCTTATTCTCCAATGCCATCTTTAGCAAATTTGTCCTGCAATATTAGAAATTAGAAGCAAAAGAAGAATCGAGCTCTTCTTCGTACCCCTCTCTCCCCCCCCATAAAAGAAATGGTTACATGATTCCTGATGAGTATAAGTTTCTTGAAAACGGTGAAAATTTTTTGCTATTTGATCCTGGAGAACATGATGTGGACAGAATTTGGGGATTTGGGGTTTGGGCACAGAATCTGGCTGAGACAATTTGGTGAAATGTCAGGACTGGGCACATGATGGAACATTTAAGTGTAGTCCAGATATGTACTCCATGTTTCATTATGTCCTTTTTAATGTCCTTTTTTAATTTTATTTTCTGTTATTTTATCTTTTACGGCAAAATTGCCTTACTGCCAATTAGTTATGTGGTGAAAATATTTGGGGCGAAAGTGCTTGTGGCAAACATGTCTACAGCAAAGATGGTTATGGTGAAAATACCGGACACATAGAAAACACCACATGCCCTGTAGAAGGACGGAAAGCTTTCAGCAAGGAAGAGAAAATTGTTCGGAATCCCTGCCCCTTTACGGTTCAAATGCCATTCAAAACATCTGTTTCTATTTTAATTGTTTGTCTTTTGGAGAGAATGAAGGGTGATTTCAAGATAAATAAGAAGCAAAATATCCTCCTGAACCGAAAAAACCCAGTACCTGGCCATCTGGAAAGATTTGGTTTGTTTGTTTATTGCTGGAGTGATAGAAAATCTGTACAAACACCCATAATTAAAATGCAGCTAATAAAAACCAAAGGTTCAGAGATTATTAAATACTGTTCTCTATTAAAGTAGTTCCTTCTGGCTGATTTTGAACTGTTTTTGAAAACCAAGCACTTGTTTGGAGGCAATTAGTAAGATCATAACAAAGTTTCCACAGAGGACTAACAAAGCCTGGAGTTTATTCTGGATCTCTGCCTGAAGGGAGAACAAACAGCCAAAAGAGAGAGAAAAACATTTCTGTGGACAGATTAAGCTCTGGTGGGTGTTCGTGCCCACAGGTCGCAGCAGCCCCTTAAGTCAAATATGCTATGATTGGGATCAGAGCCCTCTTCCATAAATGCAGCAGTGTGGAACAATATAATTCTACCATCTGAATCTTATGTATTTTCTTGTTTGCTTACTTTTCTTATTGGCTCTTTTTTGCCTGTGGTGAATGAAATTTGTGTATAATGAGATACCTATCCTAACTATACATTCAGTGACTTCCAACAAACGCAAACACCTATATACCTCAAACCCTTATCAAAACATCCAACAGGGGCTGACCTGGTGGCACAGTGGTTAAGTCTGTGCACTCTGCTTCAGCTGCCCAGGTTTGTGGGTTTGGAACCCAGATGTGGACCTACACACCACTCGTCAAGCCACATTGTGGCAGCTTTATATGGTCCCACATATAAAGTAGAGGAAGATTGGTACAGATGTTAGCTCAAGGACAATTTTCCTCAAGCAAAAAGAGGAAGATTGGAAGCAGATGTTAGCTCAGGGCCAATCTTCCTCACCAAAAAAACAAAACATCCAACATTGCCGTTACCCCAGAGGCAATGGCTGTTTTGACTTAGCAAATTAGTTTTCACTATTTGAGGTTTTCATTTAAGTGGAATTGTATGTAGTTTCTTCTATGTAAGACTTTGACTCAGTGTAGTGTTTTCATTCAATTTCATCAATGTTGCATGTACTGGTAGTTCATCCCTTTTGTTGCTGGGTAGTAGTCCATTATATAAGTATTCTACAGTTTTGGGTTTATGTTTTTCGGAGTTTTTTGTTTTGTTTTATTTTTTATCTGTTTTCTTATTGATGGACTTTTGGCTATTTCCAGTTTTTGTCCAATTAAGTTGCTAAGCATATTCTTGTATTCTTTTGTGGATACAGGCATACCTCATTTTACTGCATTTTGCTTTATTGCACTTCACAGATATTGATTTTTTGCAAGACCCTCCACCAGCAAAAAGACTACAATTGCCTGAAGGCTCATGGTTAGCTTTTTTAAGCAATAAAATATTTTTTAATTAAGGTTTGTACGTTTTTTTAGAGATAATGCTATTGCACACTTACTATTACAGTATAGTGTAAACATAACTTTTATATTTACTGGAAAGCCAAAAAATTCATGAGACTCATTTTATTGCGACATTCACTTCATTGCAGTGGTCTGGAACCAAACCCGCACTATCTCTGTGATATGCCTGTACATATTTTCTCTTGAGCAGATGTTGGGAATGCAATTGCTGAGTTGTAGAGAAGGTAAATGTTTAGTTTTATTAGAAAGTGCCAGGTTTTTTCCCCAGATGGTTGCACTACTTTACACCTCCGCTATCAACGTAAGAAAGTAGGTCCTTGCTGTCATTAGATGTTCTCAGTAGCATTTCATTCAGTTTTAAATTGCATTTCTCTTATGACTAAGGACATTGAGCACTTCTGCATGTGCTTACTGACCATTTATATATCTTCTTTCGTGAAGTGACTGTTCAAATCTTTTGCCCATTTTTAAAAATTGGGTTGTCTTTTTCTTACTGAGTTGTCGGTGTTCTTTGTATATCTTCATATGGTATACAGATGTATGTACGAGACCCTCCCTTTCTCTGGGGAGTGGGGCCCCAGGCACTTGATCTTTTTGTCTGTAGTTCCCCTGGAAACGATGCCAGGCATTCTGCCTTGTTTAGTACTGTATTTTCAGTGTCTAGGATGGCTCTGGTACATAGTAGGATCTTATTTACTGAAAGAATCAACAAACGAATAGACTAACTGACTTTGAGGCCCTTTTGTGCATCCACACATTATGTTCTTGAATTTAATGGCAGTGGTGAACAAGGAAATAGAAAAAAGAAAATTTTAATGTCACCCTTGAGTTATAAAGTACACTTGGCACAAAGGACTCAGGATACCTTCAGGGGACTTAGTCATGTAGGAGAAATACTGCTGGATTATCTCATGGAGTAGCCTGATTTGTCCCTGTTTATGAACCTTCTGGTGAAGCCACCACTGCTGTCTAACCTGCCACATTCTGGACTCTATCCCAACCCCTTCCAAGTCTTGGGTTCGGACCAGGTTTGCTTGATGGATGATCAGAACATCTAGCTTTGGAGGGTTTTATATGGCTTAACCCAGCCAATCCTGCTGTGCCTTCAGCGCCTTCCTCTTGGATCTCTCTGACACTGATGTCCATCCCCTGTCTGACTGCCCCTTTGCTGAGCTCTGTGCCTCACTAGCAGGCCCTTCTCCCTTGGTCTCGAAGCCATTTTCCTGATCCTAATCAAGCTGGCTCCAGCTTTTCCTGCTTGGAGTACACACTGAATAATCAGCAGTAGCATCCACGATGGTAGAGAACTTCGCTATTTATGGAGCATTTTCACATCCGTTATCTCATTTAAGCCTCTAGACTGTCCTAGTTGCATTCCTTTTTTTTTTTTTTTTTTTCCCCCAAAGGAGGCAGATAAAGAGTTGAACTGATTTGCTCCAGAATATAAAAGTTGCCCTCACGTGGCCTGGAGTTTTCTAAGCCTCGCTGGGTCTTGAACAAAGAATATGAGTACTTTCTTAACTCTGGTGGGTGTACACAGGTGGTGTTTAAAAGGTTCCAGAGACTTTTTACAGTTCAGAGACGTGGATTACATCTGTCATTAGAATTTTAATTATCACATGAAAGACATATATGGGTAGTTCCCAACTGTTTTTTTTTTTTTAAAGATTGGCACCTGAGCTAACAACTGTTGCCAATCTTTTTTTTTTTCCTGCTTTTTCTCCCCAAATCCCCCCAGTACTTAGTTGTATATTTTAGTTGTGGGTCCTTCTAGTTGTGGCATGTGGGACACTGCCTCAGCATGGCCTGATGAGCAGTGCCATGTCCTCTCCCAGGATCCAAACAGGTGAAAACCTGGGCCGCCAAAGCAGAGTGCACAGACTTAACCACTCGGCCATGGGGCCAGCCCCTCAACCTTTTAATTTAACCACTCTTATGGGTTCCCCTGCCTTACCCTCCTTGGATCACATGTTATTTAAGAGTGTGTCCACCAAAAACTGTATTTATTCATTCATTTTATCTTCTTTATTCATCAGACATATGCCTTCTGGTCATATGACTGGATCCAGTTTAGGATCAGGATCAGATAATTTGTGCCCTCGCTGGGCTGGTTTTATCACAGCCAAAATAAAGACATTTGAGATTTGAATTAGCCTCCAAGACTGATAACTGGTACATCCATTTCTGCAGGGCTTTTTGAAGGATTAAAATGTTCATACTCTGATTCTTCGGAAAGTAGAAGCAGAGTTCAGTGCTTGTGAAAAAGTAGCCCCAGGGCATCGACCTCCACTCGAGAACTAAACTCTTATAAGTCCCTGATGTCTCATATCTGGGTGGGACTAAGACACGTATTACCGACTTTATCCCTTTACTCTGTGATCTGGGCCTCTCCCTGGCTCCCTAGAGAGTGGGTCTCAACCAGCCTTACTCTAGTATTTCCTCAGTGGTTGGAATATTTGGGTTCTTTTCAGTTCATGCCCATAGGACTTGGGGAGAACAGGCGTTTATAGAAACAAAGACATTCACCCAACCGTTACCTTAAGGTGCACAGTTTTATATGTCATCAAACCAGAACTTTTACATTGTAGCAATAATTGTCTCATTCAAATTATACTTTCAAAGGGTCATGAAGAGTATTCGAAAGGTAGTCTGTTTCTAAAGTAGTGGAATTGGTAAATGATACTCTGTATGCCAATTATAAAAGAGCCATTTCAGTTAAGGAAGACTATTAACATAATTTGTTATTTTATTTCTATATATTTATTATTTTATTAATCAAATATTGTGCTTGATTTTGGCTTGTTTTGTAGGGGACCGAGCAGAAATCCACCAATGTCATCTATCAGGCCCACCACGTGAGCAGGAACAAGAGAGGGCAGGTGGTTGGAACAAGGGGCGGATTCCGAGGATGTACCGTGTGGCTGACAGGTATGCCATGTTGCTATGTGTACATTTTTTTTAATTGAAAATTGACATGTGACACACAGTTTTGAGGAACTTAGTATAACATATTATATGTATTATGTATTTATTTTAATGTTAGAAGGAGGCTGAGGGGCTGGCCCAGTGGTGGAGTGGTTGAGTTTGTGTGCTCCTCTTGGTGGTCTAGAGTTTGCGGGTTTGGGTCCTGGGTGCAGACCTACACATTGCTCATCAAGTCATGCTGTGGTGGCATCCCACATACAAAAAGTGGAGGAAGACTGGCACAGATGTTAGCTCAGGGTCAATCTTCCTCACCAAGGGAAAAAAAAAGAAGGGGCCTAAGAGCTGTAGTAGAAAGCCTGGATGTAAGTCCTAACTCTATCATCAGCGAGAAATAGGACTTTGATCAAGTTATGGAACATCTCTAGTTCTGTTTTCTCCTCTTTGGCAGGAAAGGATGGGACAAGTTGATTACGACATTCCTTTTCAGCGCTAAGGAATTCCGTAATTCTCGTGTTCATGGCTAAACACATTTACTAGCAGTTATGAATGGAGTTTTCCTAATTGGACCTCAAGCATTTGACTGTCCATAAAGTTTTGAATGTTTAGAGCTATTCTTTATCATTTTCTGATGTTTTAACATTCTAGGGAACTGTTTCACTCAGGGTAAAAAAAACACATAAGAATCTGCACAAGAAGGAAAACAAGTGATTTCTATTTGGCTGAGGATTGCCCCCCCCCAATTTTTTTTTTGGTGAGGAAGATTGGCCCTGAGCTAACATCTGTGCCGGTCTTCCTCTATTTTGTATGTAGGACACCTCCACAGCATGGCTTAATGAGCAGTGTGTAGGTCTGCACCCAGGATCCAAACTTGCGAATCTGGGGCCACCAAAGCTGAGCACGCAAACTTAACCGGTACACCACTGGGCCAGCCTCTCTTGTGTTATTATAGTACAGAATGTCAAAGCTAAGAGTTAGTGACAGAACTGGAGTTAGTCCTGGGCTGTTATGTTATACTCTGAGTACAAGGTAGAGGAAGTTGTTTCTTGGGACTGTAAGTCTGACATAGCCTGGACCTAAAAGGAAAAACCGTGTTCATTGCATGAACATGGTATTTCAAATAGAGATGAGTTCAGATGCAAAGATAGGTTTATCTAGGTTATGAAATCAACTCATGTGTTATGATCTGCTCACAAATGCTGACTTATCTGAAGATAATTCTAAAGAATATTGCAGGGAGGGACCTGCTTTGCATCTTTCATTGCTCTTCTGAGTGTTTCCCATTCCTGTCTAAATCAGCCTCATTCTTCTTTTTCAAGTTTGTTCCTAGTGCCTACGGCACTTGCTTTGGTTTCCTGATTCCATTCATTCCTGGTAAAACAAGTTTTTACAGTTTCCAGGGTGAGGTTAGACAGTGGCCAAGGAGCTGCTATATTCCAATAGGTGGTATTCACCTGTCGTGATTCCTGAAATGTTTCCCCTGGCTCCCTCTGAGAGGCGTGGTGTTTTCTGGTAGATATATCACAGCTGTGTTCCAGACGTTTCCCTCTTGTTATGTATTTGATTCATATGTTTGCCTTCACATGTTTGCCCAACTTTTGAATTGGGACATAAACACAGAGTCCATTTTTTCTTAATGTGGAACACCCTTGAGAAGAAAAGAGAAATGGTAGAAAAGAAAAAAAAGGAATCTGAAGGATATACTTACCCTTTTTCTACCTGTTAAAAAAAAATCATCTTTTCCCAATTTATTTTGTATTCTTTTGTTACAGAGGTAGGATATTGACCAGGCAGACCAGAAGAAACCAAATCCTTCAAATCCAGGGACTTGGATTTGAGCCCCAGCTCCACCTACATTAAGTGTGTGACTTTGGACAAGCCAACTAACTTCTCTAAACCTCGGTTTCCCTATTTTTAAAGTGAGAATAAAGATAGTACCTGCCTCCTAGAGGTGTAGGTAGAATTAAATGCACACGTGCACTTAGCACAGCGCCTGGCCCGTAGGAAAACTCTCAGGAAATCTAATTAGTGTTTCCTCAATGTATTAAAATAACCATGGCCAACAATCTAGTTTAATACCATCACTGTGATTTAGCGCTTACTTTCCAGAGAGCTGAAGCGAAATTGGAGGAAATTTCTATGATTTCTCTCATTTTGTGATGTGAGAGAACATACCAGAGATTCAGGAGATCCATTTCTCCTACCCCACAACCAGACATAAATTTTAAGAGGAATTTATCACATTTGTCTTCATTCAAATGATATTTAGTTACATCGTAATATAATAGACAATGTCTTCAATAATGATGTACAAAGATTGCCAACATATTCTTCGTGTAGCCATTTCTTCTAATGATCCTTGTCAAAGCCAAGGGGATGACTTTAAAACCTAGCTAAAAATATGGCAACTAGTGGTTTACGCCTCGTATCTTGCCTTTCTTTCCAAGTCTCCTTTCTGTCTTTCCTCTCTGTCCTTCATCCCTGCTCTTCTTTTACTTTTTCCATCTTTTTCCTCTTTCTTCCTGCTGTCTTCTTTGTATTAACTTCTTGACTTTCTTTTCTTCCCCCCTAACTTTTCCTCTTCCGTGCCTGGGTACTGTCTGACAGTGGCTTGGCATGATGGAATATTCTTCAGGTTCAGAGATCTTTAGGACAACTGAATTTTTAGAGTGCTGCTTTTCCTAGGTAGTTCAGATTTTGAGCTCTTAAGTAATTTTGGCAAGTTGTATTTCTTTCTCCTTATGGTTTCTCTCGTACACAAATTATAAAGTCTGTTCCAATCATTGTGCTGTGAAACCATGGTAAAAGGCACCAGGTAACTCTGTTCTCATGTCAAGACTCTAAACACCTAACAGTAAATGGCAACTCAAATTTATCTACAGGATGGTTCTCTGTCTTCATGTGGGCGGTGGGCCTGCCAGTCTCCTGGGGCCGACTGCTGTCAGAGGGAGATAGGAGAACACTGTTGACAGATCTGATTTTTTCAAGAGAAGCCAGAGTCTGGATTTGTATGCACAACTCTCTAATCTTTAAAATACTCTGTAGGCAAAGTAGAACTCATCAAGGACCATACGCAGCCTCCCAGGTCTCCCTATTTTTGAACCCGCTAGCTTTGAAAACCTATAATCCTAATAATGAACAAATTGTTATTTTAAGATTTGAAAGAAATACAAGTACTTAAGTTGTAGAAAACTATGCCTTTTCTAGATTTTAATTTGAGGTCAATCAAATGATTGCAATGAGGGTGTAATTACACAAATTACTGGACCAAGTCACAATCTATCGTCTTAAACAATCGGGGACAATGCCAGTCTTGTCTTGCCTATTCTGAACAGGTCTCTCCGGTGCTGGAAAAACAACGATAAGTTTTGCTCTGGAAGAGTACCTTGTCTCCCACGCCATCCCTTGCTACTCCCTCGATGGGGACAACATCCGTCAGGGCCTCAACAAGAACCTTGGATTCTCTCCTGGGGACAGAGAAGAAAATATCCGGCGGATTGCCGAGGTGGCCAAGCTGTTTGCTGATGCTGGTCTGATCTGCATTACCAGCTTCATTTCTCCTTTCACAAAGGTAACATGATTTGGCTGCACGTAACTCCCACACACAGCGCCAGTGCTCTCAAACTGCGAGGAAAATGAGGAGGGGGAGAGGAGGGTGAAAAAGAATGTTATACTTTCAATTTCCCTCACTTGTTTCTTCCTTCCCTCCCCTGCTCCCTCATTTCCTCTATTTAATATTGGTTACATGAAGAGAGTTCTTTCATTTCCAGATGTCAGGGCACCAGCTGGCATAAACCCTTCCACGTTCACAATTGTAAGGGACATCTGGCCAGAGGAGAAAGGAAGAAAAACTTTAAACTGTAATTTCATTTCTTTAAAAAGTCAGAATGCTTAGCCTGCTAAAGAAAACAGCAGTTCATTACCAACTAGAGCAAAATTTCTGGACTTAAGGACAAGTGTCCCACCACCTCTGCAGAAACCTCAGTGTTATCTTAAGGCTATGAAATTCCAGAGCACACGATGTTTTGTGATGAATTTCATTGTGAAACCTCTTCTTACATTCTTACTCGTATTTTCTTTCAGGATCGTGAGAAAGCCCGCGAAATCCATGAATCAGCGGGACTGCCGTTCTTTGAAATATTTGTGGATGCGCCTCTAAACATTTGTGAAAGCAGAGATGTCAAAGGCCTCTACAAACGGGCCCGAGCTGGGGAGATCAAAGGTAGGAGAACCAGCTCAGCGAGCGGCACCCTTGCCAGTTACTTAGCTGCCAGTCCCTCTCAGTCTGTCCCCAGAAATCCCTCTGAAGTTTCAAAGACTGCTTTCCAAAATTGCATACAACATACGCAAGTTTTTATCAAACCATAATATATTCATTTTGTTCATGGGCTTATTAAAAGGTGGGCTCGTAATTTTCATGAACTGTCACCTCAGCCACAAGCAATAAAGTTCAGAGCACTCCAATGGTTATGGATTTGTGAGTGTGTAGAAGGAGTGTTTCAGACTTTTTCCTTCTCCTTGTCTTCCTTTTTGATTCTAATCAGCTGCAGAGGGCTTGGACTTAGCCAGATTTTGTTGAAAATTGGGGCCTCAACAATATAGTTGTATATTTTCTTCCTATGGCCAGAGGTCAAGGATGGCCGTTTGACCTTTTCTGTTATAATCTGAATTCTTACTTTAATAAATTATTCTCACATATGTTATGTCTTATTGATTAAAAAGATTGTTCTGTAGGTGCAGGTGTGACGTTCATCATCTGTCTTGCAGGGTTTACGGGTATTGATTCTGATTATGAGAAACCTGAAACTCCTGAGCTTGTGCTTAAAACCAACTTGTCCTCAGTGGATGACTGTGTCCAGCAGGTAGTGGAACTTCTGCAAGAGCAGGTGGGTGGACTGGTTGTCTTATTCTTTCTAATTTAATGAAGTCGTGAGAGATCATCTATTCACTGAAGCATTCTTTTTACTGTCTTTATTTCCAATTGTTACCAATTCCACTTCATTTCAGAACATTGTACCCCACACTGTAATCAAAGGTATCCATGAACTCTTTGTGCCGGAAAACAACCTCGACCAAGTGCAAGCTGAGGCTGAAGCTCTCCCTTCGTTATCAATTACCAAGGTAAGAGGGTGCAGACTGGCCTGAACAATAGGGAATGTATGCATAAGGGAAATGCAATGTCCAGGAAGAAAACCACTTCATTTTGCCAATTTTTTTTTTATCTCTTCTGCAAACAAATTTGTCACCAAGAGTTGCCAGAAGGCAGCTGATCAATGCCATGTAGATGCAGACCAGGAAGGTAACTTCTGTATTTCCCTAGGACAATTTTACAGAGTTGTCATTATGCCTTCAGTAATAGGCAGAAATTATTTGTTGGCAGCTGCTAAGAAAACAGTTTGTCCAGAATACAAGTGCTTCTTGGCAATCTAAATGGAATTTGAAGAAAACAAAGAACAACCCGGTCCTAAAATGATATGAATGCCTTGATCTTTGGCTGCTCTGCAAGTTCCGCTCTTCCCTCATCGGGGAGGGTCCAGTCTGAGGAGAGAGGGAGGCAGCTTTGGTTGCATTGATTTACTACCCCAAAGATATAAGATGCAACCCCAACACACTGTCCTGCAGATGCCTTGACCTTTTTATGGGTCAGTGTTAATTGGTCCACACAAGGTGATCAAGTCTTCGCTGGTAACTTTTCATTATCCATTAAAACCTTGGACACCTTAATGAGAGACAGAGTAAGTTGGGAACTTGCTTCAGCTCAGGAAGTCTCCATACTCTAAGAAGTCATGACAAATTTATATACAGAGCCCCCTGAATCTAAAAAATAAATTCTAAGTTCTCCAATGCTCCGGGAAGATGAGAAACACTTAGTTATGATTACAGTGTAGAAGGGTAGTTCCGATAACAAAATGGGCTGCCAGGTACAGAAGAACTTCAAATAATTTAAGGATTAATGTTTTTGATCCTAGAGATGACAGGAAAGGCTTCATAGCAGTAACGCATGAGCTGCAATTTAAAGGATGAATAGGAGTTTTTAGGTGGAGAGGAGGATAGGCCTGAAACCACATGTATGTTTAGACTACACATTGTCTGGCATTTTTGGTGAATAGGCCCCCAAGTGGGGAGTTAGAGTGGGTAGAAATCCCTACGCAAGCCCCAAAGGACCAGAGCTTGAAGGGCTTCCAATATCATGCTGAGAATTTGGACTTTTATGTTAGAGTCAATGATTTGCCCAATTCACTCAAATAACTTGTACATTCAGTGAAAAAGTGTAGCCAAACTGGAATTTTTGCGGAAAAAAAGAAAGAATGAACAGTGAATTTTCAACACACTTGCACATCATATGGGTTGAAAGAGCCTCAAGTGTTCCAATAGATCATCTCAATTTGAAATCTTTTCACCACTCTCCTGTAGACTCAAACTCATCTGGCCCCTAGATCATGAGTCAGCATAACATACAGGAATACTTAAAACATAAAAGGTTCTGCCCTCATTCTCCTGTTAACTGTGTAAGAAAGGACTCCGCTGGCGCCAGATGGCTGGAAAACAGAGCTTATGGAAATGTTCACCTGCTTTCCTGTTTTGCAGCTGGATCTTCAGTGGGTCCAAGTTTTGAGTGAAGGCTGGGCCACTCCCCTCAAAGGTTTTATGCGAGAGAAGGAGTACTTGCAGGTTTTGCACTTTGGCACCCTGCTAGATGGTATGAGTTTTTTGTTTCTTACTCTTCATTATTAAAGAAAAAAAATATTTCTCAGAAGTCTTCACAAGAACAAGAAATGTTATGCCTTGGTTTGTAAATCTCATTGTGAAAATATCTAGATCATTTACAGTGCGTCCAATTCTATTGTGTATCAGCCTCCATTTTTAGCATTTTTTTGGTTATCCTCAAAGGATTATTGGTTATTTAAAACTAAAGAACTGAAAAATGAAGGTTTAACTTGCACACAAAGCTGAGAGAAGGTTAAGTCTGCTTCACCTCCACCTGCCCTTTGCTGGCCCTGGTATTCAGAAGGCAGTAGACAGTCAGAAGCACTGTTGCCAGCTGCTGGGACCATCCTGGGGCAGCCAGGATGCACTCAGTGCACACTGCTGACTGGCGGGGTGCCTCCCACCCTCCAAGTTGGTCTGTTATTGCAGCAACTGCTCTCCTTGGTGGATAGTGAAGTGTTGATATTCATGTCCACGCATGAAGTATATTAGGATGGCTTCACCCAGTAAACTCCAACAAGGGTTGTTAGGGCAGCTTCCTGTGCACAAGCTGAATGGCTTTTAGAGAACTGATCTGGTCCAGGTCGGAAGCATGTGTTATTCAGAAAACTTCTGGGACTTTCTATGATCATTTTCTTCCTAGAACTACCTCAGCTTATCAAATGGAGCTTGTCTATGTCAAGACCTTGGGGAATGACTGATTAGTGGGGAACGGGTGGTGGTAGAGTTGTGCTAAATTTGTAATACTGAGCAGGGCTCCAAACCCTTTAGGAAGAAAAATCAAATCAGATGTTCTTTCTTGGGAAAGGTGTTCATGTTCTGGGCCTGTGCCTCTGCCTGGGGAATGGGGTGTAAAGCCAGAATCAGAACTCAAGAACTCTGGTCAAAATGAGGTCTCTCTCCTTATTCCTCTGCTGTGGCTGATAATGTCCCACAACCTGAGACCTTCATTTCTTGGATTAAATAACATTCCAAAAGACACCTGATTTACTTATAGCTTGCCTTAACAATAATAATGCATATCTGTACAGCATTTCTCTGTTTTCAGAGCATTCTCTCAGGCATTATTTTATTTGATCCTTATGAAAGCCCTAGAAGAGAGGCAACTATTATTATACTGCTTTACAGATGAGGAAACTGACCTAAGGTTAAGTCCTTTTCTCAAGTTCATACCATTGATAAGTGAGGGGTCCAAGACCAGAGTTGAGAATCTCCTGACTTCTGGCCTGGTGCTCCCTCCATACCAGGCTGCTCTCCTGATGTCCTTTCCAATAAAAGCTAGAAAGCCAGGATGTGTGTACAAGAAAGGCTGACATTTACCTTGATGTGTTAATTTTGACACATGCTGAACACAAGCTGGATCAAGTAAATGTCGCTGGACTCAGCAACCAGCCACAAACAAGAGGTTGAGTTGACCATGAGCATTCAGGCCAGAGCTGTGAAAAAGACAAAGTGAACCACATTGAAAGTGAGGACCTTATTACAGACACAGTACTGTCACCTTTGACGAGTATTTGTTCCATAAAGAAAAACACCAGGGCAGTGGTTGTGGTTGCAGAAGTAAGTGTTGATGGAAATCAGGGTCCTTAACCTGGGCTCTAGGACTTCAGAGTGAAGGGACAGAAAACATCCTAGACTAGGCAAGAATAGTCTGTGTGTTAAGAAGGGGAGAAGGGGAATTTTCCTGGGCTAAGAGTTCATAGCTTTTGATAGATTTTTAAAGGAGTCTTTGATCCAAAAAGAAGAACAGCTAATGCAGATATTCTATTTGGATAATTTAGGCAAAATCTCTTGGCCTCCCTCTCACACCATTCCAATGTCATTTTATGGTGTTCTTCAATTTGCAAAACATATTGCTTTTCTTTTTCTTATTTGACCCTCACTACCATAAGGTGGATGAAACACTTATTATTGCTCCCACTTCCCACATAATCTGGTGTCTATTCCCCTAAGCCCACCAGTCTGGGGATATGAATGAGGTCACTTTCCCATTAATACTTGAATCCCACTCGTTCCCAGCCCCTACCTGCTCATACAGAAATCCTAGTTCTTAACAAAGCCTACACCCACGTGTTTGTGGGAGTTCTCAAGGAGTATGTTTCCTGTGCTGTCGAGTCAGGCCCACAGCCGTATACCACTTGCCATGTGGATCTGTGTGGCTCTCTGCACCCACAGAGGTGCAGATCCTGCCCATTCACTCCAGCCACTGAAGTCCTTGTACCCACAGGGCTGTGGCAGTTCACCGACTCTTTCTCAAGTGGGAGGAGGATGCTCCTTTCCTCTGTGCTAACCCCGGTAGAGGACCCTCTTGCAGGTTGCTTAAGTCCCACAGAGTTAGAGAATTGAGTGAAACAACTGTAATCTGTACACAGGCCTTTATTCTCCTGTGGTTGCTGGTGTGGCTATGTGAGGGGAGGTTAAGACCAGAGGTCATGCTGTTTCTATAACCCTCACCCCACTCCACCTTCAGGCCTGTTTCTGGGACTCTCTGCAAGACTCCTTCTTTCCCTGCAGGGCTTCTGTGCTGGCTGTGCTGTGCATCTACCCCTGAAACCAGAGTCCACTAGACATGTCTATGCAACCCCAGTTGTAGTTAGGATTCAAAAGTTCCAACACCCTCCAGAAGCCTCCTCAACTCCCAAGTAAATCAATTAATAAAAATAGGTACCAGGGATATAGTATGCTGCCCCTCTTCACCTGAGCAGAGGCAGGAAATCAGAGAGGGTAAGAGTGAGCTGTGGAGCCAGACGGTCTGGGTTCACAGCCAGTGATGAGCTATGAACCTGGGGCAAAGGCCTTAAACCCACTGGGCCTCAGTTCCCTCATCTGTAAAATGGGGATTTAATAACCATACCCATCTCATTCAGATGGTGAAAGTTTAAAAGAATAAACGGCTTTCTAAGGCAGGACTTGAGGGCTTTCCATATATACTGCCAGCATTTATTCAGCACATAATGTATTCCGACCCTGGCGTTTGACATGGGATATCACATTGAATCTGGATAACACACTGTGAAGATATTTTGTCCATATGAGGAAACAAGTACTGGAAAGTATAAGTAACTCACTCAAAGAAGCCTGGATTCAAATCCAGGTTATCCCGGGTCTAGTATCTGTACTTCTTCTACTGGGCATAGTTTCACGTCCTCTAAACATCTGGGATTCTAGGATGTTCGAGAGTAGTTTGCTTCTACATCTCTTAAAGTCTGGTCTGGAACCATTTGACAGTAGTTATAATAACACATATTTGTAAGAGACAGCTTCTTGCTGAAGTTGCGGGGGGGTGGCTACTGACATGTGTTACAATTATTATAAAACAAGTAATTATCTGAATGATGCTTTTGGGTTGCATTAAACAATATTCAATACAAATTCTGGTTTCACCAGCTTTTGCCTGTCAGATGTTCTCTATTTTTAAAAATAGCAGGTGCAAATATCTTAGTATATTCGTTTGCTGTATGTGTGAATTTTCATAATAGGAATTTGTTCTTTGACATTGTTGCTTTAAGATTATTTTGGTGGATAGCTGAAAACGTTTCTTACTTGTGCTTGTATTTCTCTAGGCGTGGTCATTCCTGGTATGTACTTTAACTTTCCAAGTAGTTAAATTATTGTAATTCAATATGTTACATTAATTAGAAGTGGTTAAGAACATAACTAAAAAAAAAGATCCAAATGAACCAGTTGGAATTGCTAACAATTCATGATCCAACCAGTTAGAATAGAATAATGCTATATCTTTCTGTTGATGGAGTCCAAAAAACAGAAAATTTCTGGATCAGACACAGCTGTTGTTTTTAGTGTTGTCTTTAGCTGACAAAAGTAAACTGGTTTCTAAATTATTGTTGCACATTTTGTTCCCGAGATTTTAAAAATTTATGATCCTTTCTGCTAATTACTTCTACTGAATGTTGGTCCTCATTTAGTTACACAAATCTGGACCTTTTTTTCCTATTGCATTTATAAAATGTTTTCAATGGATGATGGATAGGTCAATTTTAGATGCAATTTAAAGTAGATGCACCTGGTTGGATTGTGGATGATTGTCCTTCATTTGTTTGTGATGTGTGATTATGCATGAATTTAATTTCAAGCTATGATGATTGATAGTTAGAGAACTTGGAATAAATACACAGTTGCCTTGACTGTAAACATCTGCACTGTGCCAGAATGAAAAGGTAAAATTCTGAAAATATCATTTATCTTTGGTATTGTTTTTATCATTGTTGTTTTCCTGAAAAAAGTCTAGTTAAGCAATAAAAACTAATTTAGTTTTTGTGTGGAAACAGTCCCAAACAACTGAGGAGCAGATCTACAAGGTTAAAACGACAGGCTTGAAAATTATTTAAAGCAAAAGCAAAATTATTCAGTTGAACATGGAGTTATGTCTTGGACTAACCAGGGCTAAAACACTACACTACTCTTTGCCAAAGTGAAATATACCACAATCAGATCATCAGGGCCGTTCCCACCAGAGCTGAAGCAACAATGGAAAAAGACTGACAGCCCTAATCGATGTTTAAAGCCATGGAGAATGTTTCAGCACAGAGTTAAATTGCTGGATAAGTTTATGTTTTAGGAAGTTACTAAAGATGACAAAACCACAGGAAATCTGCTTACACTCATAGGGAGTTGTACCTATAGGTGTCTGAGATCAGTTGGCATTACTGCTCAGTAGAACTCCTTTCCATAACATCCCACAGATTAGCTCTCTTATCCTGACATCCTGTCAGGGAGTGCCGTTTCCTCAGTTCAGATTTTCACTCAAGGCTGAGATGAAGGTGGATCAGACGCTACACTGGGCAGGGTCCTAGTGGACCGAAGGAGGCGATTGCAGCAGGAAAGTGGAGTATCCCTTGCATTTCAACCCAGAATAATGGATGGGAAACAGCACTGCAAGCATGTTGCGGGCAGAGCTAGGCTTCCTCCAGCGTCCTGCCCACCTTTTGCTTTGATTTTGTTTTTACTTTGTTTTGATAAAGTCACTCCTTATAAGCAGGGTGGTCAGTAATCCACAGAATGCATGATTTCTAGTGAGATCATCAACATGTTATTCTTTGTTAGCTTCTCCTCCTTTTTCTCAACTAGACTATGTGGTGGGTTTAATGATCTTTTATCATAAACCTCCGTTGATCTAGAGCTTTACGGTCTGCCTCCTCCCAGCAACCAAGGGATTTACATATTATTTATTATCCTTTTCTTCAAGTGAGGAAACTGAGCACAGAGAAGGTGAGCAACACAGGTAGTACATGTGAGAGCACTTGACTTTGAGTTTGGTGTTCTCTGCACAGGGCTTGGACTGCTCTTGTTGCCCACGAACTTTAAAACAAAGGAGTTACTTGAATGGCAAAACCCATGCACTCTGTGCATAGTATCTTACTTGTGGTTTATAAAGGGTTCCAGAGCAGGTTGCAAGATTTCATGAGAGGCAGGCATTCTTTATTGCTGGCGGTTGCTGTCCATATCCTGTGACATTCTTTAGGTCCTAGTAACTTTTGGAAAGTATTTGAAAGGTGTGAAGTGATATACCTGGAGACTTTGGTTTCATAGCTACTAAGGAGAGTGTTATGTCCAAAGGAATATATATATATATATATATATATATATTTTTTTTTTCTTTTTGAGGAATATTAGCCCTGAGCTAACATCTGTTGCCAATCCTCCTCTTTTTGCTGAGGAAAACTGACCCTGAGCTAACATCCATGCCCATCTTCCTCTACTTTATGTGTGGGATGCCTACCACAGCATGGCTTGACAAACATTGTGTAGGTCCACACCCAGGATCCGAACCAGCCAACCCCGGGCCGCCAAAGTGGGACGTGTGAACTTAACTTCTGTGCCATCAGGCTGGCCCTGCTCCAAAGGAATAGAACTCAGATCTCAGATCTTTACCTCTATAGAGGTGCTCTAAATGTTGGATTTTGAAAGTTAGCTTTGGAAGACTTCATTAATCCATGGTACATTTCCTGAAATCCATAAATCACAGCATTTGTTTCCTCTGGAGTTGAATGTTTTCTTTATTCAACTTCCTTTCATTCCCTTCTGAGGCTTGAACTTGAGAACTCCCCCAAAATCTCCCTAATATTCGTTAGTGTTATACACTTAACTATGTGCCCCCATTTGCTCACCTGTAAGTACAATTAAGAGACTAACATATTTGTTAGAATGTTAGGGCACCATTACAAAAGAAGGAAAACAGGTGTGTAATTTCTTTTACATTATCTGGCTTCATTAAGAAATTACATGTTTCCAGGGAACCAAATTGTATCCTTTTAAGCTCCAAACTAAAAAACAACTAAACCTTTTAACCATTTTATCTAGAAACATTTAAAAAATATTCTTACCTCTAAAAATACCCAAACAACAACTTCTTATTCACTTAAAAAAAAAAAAAAAGAATGTTTTAAACATATGGAAACTTTAAAAAATGACTCCATCGTCACTAGTTATGCCAGTTATTAAGCTGAGCTCTAATGTACTAATACCCTGAGAATTGGGGAGCTGTGGGATTGTTGGCCCCATTCTAGAGGACCCCCCTGACTTTGTATTTTTAGTTTCTGTATTAATTAGGGTTACCAGAGAAACAGAACCGTTTGTGTGTGTGCACGTGCACAAGAGAGGAGATTTTTAAGGAATTGGCTCATGCAATTATGGAGGCTTGGCAAATCCAAAATCTGCAGGGTAGACTGGCAGAGTTACAGTTCAAGTCCAGAGGTGACCTGCTAGCATAATTCCCTCTTCTTTTTCTATTAAGGCCTCCAACTGATTGCCTGAGGCCCACCACATCATGGAGGGTAATCTGCTTGACTCAAAGTCTACTGACTTAAATGTTCATCATATCTAAAAATGCCTTCAGAGAAACATCTAGAATAATGTTAGACCAAATATCTGGGTACTGCAGCCTAGCCAAGTTGACACATAAAATTAACCATCTCCATTTCTAATGTGTGTTTTTAAACAGTCTTCCTGTCCCTTCCTTTATTGTCCAGCTGTCACTTGACATTTCTTGAGGCTGAAAATGTAACTTTTCTGAACACTCCACTCCACTCCTTCTCATTTGTTGCCTTGAATACGGAGAGACCAGAACACCCAGTTGATTTAAATTCCTTTTAAAGTAAGAGACTCAGCATGAAGGTGAGAGGCACTCACTCTCCAAAGAAAGTGCCTGAGCTTTAGTAAATAAACTTTATGTTGTTTTTCACTCTGGGTTTTTCAACTGATGGTTCCCCATTGTAGTTGAGTTAGCAAGACTTGTGATTCCCTTTTCAAAAATATTTCAAGGTGAGGCTGTGCCTGGAGCCCAGTAAACAAACAACACCACGGGGACCACTTGTTTAGGGTTCTGTTGGTTAATGTTAGTTGTCTGATTTTTTTTCTTTTTCAATTCAATGTGTTGGTGGTGAAATTAGAGCCTAAACAGATAGTAAGAGACTTGCCAACCTTGTTACAAGTTTCATTTCCAAGAAAGACTAGAGGCTTTTGTTTTGGTTTGTTTTGCCTACTTTTATTTTGTTACTTGGGTTTTTAAACACTAAGCTCCCAAATGCATTGAGGTCAGGATCATTTTTAAAAAAGGAATTCAGAAGGGAGACACCCGGCCCCCCCATCCTGGTCCCGCAAATTAGATCGCTTACTGAAGCCACCTCTGCAATTTGAAACTCAGCCCATTTTTCACAAATGCCCCATCTCCTGCTTTGAGAAGACCCCTAAGGACTTCTCATCATAGACGCTAGAGAAACCGGTGCAGCCAATGCACCACGTTGGATTTAGGTCTTAATGCCTTTTGCAGGAAATGTTTGGAAGGGACATTGTGTACATCTGAGTCATGCTTAAAGGACAGCACACCTTTATCCCATATTCACACATCACATGGCTCTTTCTACAGATGGCGTGATCAACATGAGCATTCCCATTGTACTGCCTGTCTCTGAGGATGATAAGAAGCGGCTGGAAGGGTGCAGCGAGATCGTCTTGACACATGGTGGACGGAGGGTGGCTATCTTACAAGACCCTGAATTCTATGAAAATAGAAAAGAGGAGTATTGCTCCCGTGTGTGGGGGACAACATGTGCAAAACACCCCCATATCAAAGTAAGTTGCAAAATCTTTGGAAAGGCTTTCTTGATCCCTTTCAACTTAGGACAAAAATAATTCCTTTTAATTCCTTCACCAATGACTTAGGAAAACCGAGGTTACATGGAAGAATGCATTTCTAAGGGAGGTTTTGCAGGCCTTGCCTTGGAGATCTTTTTAGAAAGAGGCAAAGAAATGTCTTTGTGTTCGAGGCCTGATCTAGATGATATCTTCAGTCCTGGGCTCTTGTGATGGCTGTTGCCCTCAGCTCAATGGGAAACAGCTGGACTGGGTGGAGAATTTAGTCAAGCATTATGAATAGAGGACCAAAATCATAGTCATAGCTATGCACAAAACTATAGCCAGAGCTTGCAGCCTTGCTTATCTTGAAAATTCACAGGGAAAGTCAATTTCTTCATACAGCGTGGGTCCAACCAACCACTGGAAAGAGACACAGAGTTTATTCTCTGTGGCCAGTGTTGGCGGGGGGTGGGGGGGGGGGGGGGGGGGGGGGGGGGGGTGGGTGTCGGTCATTGACATCCTTTGGGTAAACAAACATCAGCACAGATAGTGGCTGAGTTTCCAGAGGGAAGATACCACATTTTCATCAGTGGATATTTTTAAGATTGAAAAGTGTGTTTACCTGATTAGGATTATTTTGAGGCTATCCTCCCTGAAGGCAGAATAGACTAAAACTCCTCAGATTCCTTCACAGCTTCTAATTGCTTTTGGTGACGGTGTGGGACTGGAGGGTATTAACGGAATTGCTGGTAGCGGTTCATTTCCCATAAAGAAAAATATGTGAAATTGAATGCAAAAACATTCATTCAAGATTAGAGCATTAGGGTTGAAATTTAAAGATATGTACTGCTAATTTGACTTGTCACGGGTTGAAATTTAAAGATATGTACTGCTAATTTGACTTGTCACATTCCCTAGTCAGAATAACTAACTTTCAGAAAGTTCACAGGATTAGAGAACAGTTGAAAGCCCTGGAGACTCTAGAAAACACATCCTCTCTCTGGGCTCACTTTCTTCATTTATAAAAGGAAGGGGCCGGGGGCCAGCCCCGTGCCCGAGTGGTTGGGTTTGCGCTCTCCACTTCGGTGGCCCAAGGTTTTGCCAGTTCAGATCCTGGGTGTGGACATGGCACCGCTCATCAAGCCATGCTGAGGTGGCATCCCACATGCCACAACTAGAAGGACCCACAACTAAAAAACTACACAACTATGTACTAGGGGGCTTTGGGGAGAAAAAGGAAAAAACAAAATCTTTAAAAAATAATAATAAATAAATAAATGGAAGGGGCCAGACTCAAAATAACTCCGAGATCTCTTCCAGGCCTGTGACCCTGTAAAACGGATGTTTGAATAAACCTGTCTGAACCTGTCAGGCAAAATTATTTTTTGTTTTGTTTTTTTCAGTTGTGGAATGTTGCAATGTAGGAAGGGGTTTTTAAGGTCCCTGGTGGTGGCCTCTGAACACAAGAAGTCAATGGGCAAGCAAAGCAGCTTTTCATTTATTGGACACAACTCCCCATCCTTCAGATAAGCATCTTTAATCTTAATGCACATCCGGCTCAGGGCCATCTGAGCAATTTCTCTCCCAGAGGCTGGCAGACAGTCCTTGAAATTGCTTGACACTGACTGAGAGCTACTTGAGGAATTGTGTTCTGGGCCTTAATTATGCCTCTGATTCACTCCTTTACTGATCGTAATCATATAGGTTTGGGATTTTATCTTCACTCAGTGACTTAAAGAATAGTGGCTTTTCATCATGACAGCTCAGATATTTCTGCTTTTTGGGCCTAACATCCACGTACACATGATTATCACTAACAGAAAAAAAAACCTAAGGAAGCTCTTAAGCAATTATTTCTTTTCATCTTGTCTTGCAACATGTGTTGGCAGTTGGAGCTCAGAATTTTTTTAGAATCCAGGAAGACTGGTGGTATAACTTGGGGCCTTGACGATGCAGTCAGTGACTCTATACCGATAGGTCATTAGAGGGACTCTATCAACATCCCCAGTGAGCCAATGTTGAGAAATGGGCTGTAGATAACCAGAGAGAGAAAGTCACTCACCCTATGTACACTACACTTGGAGAGTTGAAGGTTGTGTCTACCAGACACACGACACAGGTTTTATTGGGAAAAGAACTCTTCATTGCACTTTTTTTTAGCACCTTGAAATTCACAGTAATATTTCATTATGAGGGTTTTTTAGAACCTCAAACCTTCCAAAAGTAATTCCTTCCGAAAGTAATCATGGGCCTTCTTGTATTTCCATGTGGCACTGGGAGAAATATTTGCATGGAAAATTGTTAAAAGTCACCAAGGAAATCGTCTGCCTCTGTTGCATAGCTCCTCACTGAAGTCACCTTGACCTCCCATTTAGGTCATCCCAACCCTTTCTCTTGAGTCACTAATGTGGAATCATGTGATATGATCGCAGATGAAATCATGATGGGGAGCAGGTGAAACTTGTAAAAACAATGCTTAGCGGGTCCTGTTGCTTTTCATTCATGGCTTTCAAAGCTATTCCAAACAGTAATTATTTTTCACAATGCTCTTGTGAAGTAGCTAAGAATCATTACTCCCATTTTACAGATGTAGAAACCAAAAGAACAGAGTGGAGAGTATATATGCATTTATATTTAGCTCTGCAATGAAGACGCTATGATCAATTAGATCAACAGAAACACTTGGGGAGCTTTAAAAGTTACTCATGACTGGGGGCTGGCCTCGTGGTCTAGTGGTTGAGTTTGTGCACTCCACTTCGACAGCTCGGGGTTCACGGGTTTGGATCATGGGCATGGACCTACACACTGCTCATGAAGCCATGCTGTGGCGGCGTCCCTCATACAAAGTGGAGGAAGACTGGCACAGATGTTCACTGAGTAATAATCTTCCTCAGTGAAAAGAGGAAGATTGGCAGCAGACATTAGCTCAGGGCCGATCTTCCTTCCAAAAAAAAAAAAAAATTACCCATAACTGGATCCTACCCTTACAATTCTGATTTAATTGGAGTGAGGTCAGTTCTGGGGGTTGGGGCTTTTAAAACTCCCTGTGACTCTGATGTACCCTGAAGGTTGAGAACCACAGCATTAGATAATTGTCTGAAGTCGTTCCTTCTATGGCTCTGCTTGAATAGATCCTGCAAACACCTCCCGCTCAACGTGTGCAACCTCTCCCCAACCTGTTTCCCGTCCCGTGACCCCTAGCGCAGTGAACAGCTCCACCATCCAAATGGTGGCCCATGTCTAGAACCTGGATCTCATTCTTGCTTCTTTCTTCTCCCTTGTTCATTCAATCACCAAGTCCTGATGAGTCTGTCTCCCAGGTATTGCTTGAATGTGTTCACTTCTCTTCTGTTCCAGCTTGGGCCGGGACATTTCATTTCTTCCTTGTCCTTTGTCTTACTCCCTTCTGATCCTTTCACCATTATTCAGCTAGAGAAAACTGTTCAAGCTTTATTTTGGAACTCCTTTATAAAGATATGACTTCATATTATCACCTTTCGCCACCACTATCAACATATTCTCTCCTCCAGTCATTCTCAGCAGGTCATTTTATCATCCTCTCTCTTAATTTTGCACATGGTAGTCCCTCTACTCTAGGGCACTGTACCTTCTACCCCTGCCTCCTCACCTTCTCTGTTACTCCTTTCCTTCTTTTAGCAGTTGGCCTTACTCCTATGACCCATAAGCCTGACTGGGTACCCCGTCTTTGTCCTCCCAGAGTGCTTTGCCTTGTCCTGTGCACACCTGTCCCATGATATTGTTCCCCATTTACTCTTCTGTCAATCCACTCAGACTGCCAAACCAACAGATCCAGGACCACATCTAGATCCATCTTGTTTACCATCAAGCTCCCAGCAGCAAGCCCGGCGCCTAGTGCATGAGTGCTGACCGGATGGAGGAGGAATGGAAGATTCTCCTGAAGGCACTGCTGAAATATCAGCATGGAGACCACTGATGAGAGGGAGTGGGGGCAGTGGGAAGAAGACTCTGGTTTGGAGGAGTCCTAGATTTGGCTCCTGGCTTTCTTAAGGCAGCTATGTGCACTTGAACTCAGCCACTTCCTCTCTGTAAAACTGCCTTCTCATCTGAAAATGGGGGCATTACGTGCACGTGACCTACAGGTTCCTTACAGCTCCAGAATTCCGTGACTATGATAGATATCACAGAAATGCGTATATATTCTCCACCTGTGTCACGTGTTATTCTTCTCCTCGATTCTATTCTCTGAACCCTTTCAGCATGACCTTGTATTGCTGAGCCCACCATTGCTTACCTTCTTTCTTGTTTCTTTCCCTTCTCTCTTCTCCCCTTTTCATTCCCACCTCTGCACCTTCCCACCCTTAGCTGCTCCTTTCTTTCCAATTTGCACATTCCGTGCTCCTCTCCACATTGTTTCTTTCCAGTCTTCCTCTCCTTGCCCTCTTTGAGCTGATTTACCATAGCTTCCTTAGTCTTCATCCTTGTGTTTAAGCTCATCCTTCCCTTCTTTTTGCATTCCTGTTGTCTGTGATTCCGGGCCCAACTCCCCTTTCACTACTTCACTAGCCTCCCTTAGAGCCTAGTCCTCACTCCCCTCTGTGCGTCCAGTTCTGCAAACTCTCTAGCTGTGCAAGCTCTCTTGCCTGCCTTTGGCAGGAGGCTTGGAAGGAGGTTGGGACTTCTAGGCCACAAAGCCCTGGGAAATTAGGCAGAGCCACTGGACCTCCCTTCCTGATAGCTGGACCACAGTTCTGGGGACAGTTGGACCATCTTGGGGAGAGAGATGCCTTTTGTCTCTTGCCATCCCAGAAAGGCCAAAAGCATCGTTTCAGCATTTGTCTTCAAACAGACACATTTTTAGGCTGGGTAGTGAAGGAAATTGGTTCACTGTTGCCTTCACCCATAGAACAATAGAGGGTGGACCCCTAGCATCCAGAATGAGTTACTGCACTCCCAGGGATTTGGGGTCTTAAGTCTTTCAAAATTTATCTGTGGTCTAACTCTAAACAAGGAGGAGAAAGTAAATGTATAGGTATGGGTATTTGACAACGTTCTTGGTGAGTGATTTTCCTGAGCACAGAGTGTACAAAGGGGGCCATGAAAACATAACCAAATTCCTTGCACAATCACCCTCTCTCTACCCAGGGTTTCCCAACCATAGTATTATTGACCTTTGGGCTGGATGATTCTTTGCTATGGGGGCTGTCTCATGCAATGTAGGATATTTTGTAGCCTTCCTGACCTCTATACACTAGATGCCAATAGAACATCCATCCCTGCTCCAGTCTTGACAATTAAAATTGTCTTCAGATATTGTCAAATGTCACCAGGAGAGTCAAAATTGCCCTCTGTTGAGAACCATGGCTCATTCCTTGAACCCCTATGGAATGCAAGTCATTGTAAACCCCAATATCTGGCCATGACAGGGAATGTGAACCAGGGGTTTGCCATCAACCCCTTCATCAGTCAGCTTTCTCTCCCCTGCTCTTGCCTCCCTCTCTTCTGATGATGTTTCCCATGGCCACATTGTTCTTGGACAATGTAAAAGGCAGGGTTATGGAATTAGATGAGGGGAAGGATTGTGAACTGTTATTTGACTGAGGCAAAGACTTTCTGCAATGTTTGTCTCAAGGGTTGAGGGGAGACACTGGCTGTGAGATAAGTTGTAATTGATTGCACTGCAATATCATATGGAATGTATCTAAGTTTAGAGAAAAACAAAGGTTGTCATGTTTCCTTTTTTCCCCCAAGTTTATTGAGATATAATTAACATATAACATTGTATAAGTTTAAGGTGTACAACGTGGAAACCCTGATTAGATGCCACAAAGGAGGTGGCAATACCTTAACCATATGTGTGTTGTCAGGCCCAAGGGCCTCTTCCATCCTTGTCAAGGGGAGGGCTAACCTTCTCTCCTTTCATCCAACTGTCATGTTTTTCTTTTTTTATTACTTTGACCATTCTTCACACCAGGCTCACCTCTAACATTTGTGGGGCCCAGGGCAAGAATACAAACGTAAGCCCACATACCATATTTAAAAGTTACATACCTAACTAACAAACTGTTAAATAAAATATGTCTTATCCTTCTACTTTGACAACTATGCTTTGATAATTATCTGGAAGGCCAGGTTCAAATTTAGACTTCTTGGCTCTGCACCAGAATATGGTAGTGTGTCAACAGTTGGTCTTGACCTGCAGCCAAGCTCTCCTTCTCTTTCCATGCTTGGCCTTGTCCCATGCCATGAGGGTCCTCTGGATCATCTGTGGGCACCCCAGGCTGGATGTATGAACTCTACCCACAGCCCCTGCAGATGCCACTCGCTTGACCAGTCCTAAGAATTAGGACCACCCTGGGCATGTGGTCCACTGTGGGGAGATGAGGTTTTCCCACCCCATCAGCCAGCTCAGGGCTGACTGGGCAGGGAATTCCAAAGTCCTGGTTTCACAGATCATGGTCAAGAGAGTAGATGCCGATTCTGGGTAGGCCTGCCTGCAAAGGGTTTCCTTGCCCTGACAGGAGGAGCACAACCCAAGGGGGCCAGAGTTGGGCCAAATGAAGTGTGGGACACTGTGCCGATGGTTCTTTCTAAAGGTCTCCATGTTTTGTTCCTCACTTACCTTTTTCCTGAAGTCACTTGTTCAACTGAGACTGGGTATTGAAAAGTGAGGGTATTAATATTAACCTCAGTGAAATGCTCAGTGAGTGAAAAATAGGTCTTATCTATCAATCTATCTAGGCAAAAAACTTGTAATCTAAAATCTACCATCTTAATCATTTTTAAGTGTACTGTTCGGTAGTCTTTAGTATATTCATATTATTGTGAAACAGATCTCTAGAACTTTTTCATCTTGCAAATCTGAAACTCTATACCAATTAAACAACTCCCCTTCCTCTTCCCAAGCCCCTGATAACAACCATTCTATTTTCCATTTCTATGAATTTGACTATTTTAGATACCTTATATAAGTGGTATGATACAGTATTTGTCTTTTTGTGACTGGCTTATCTCACTTAGCATAATATCTTCAAGGTTCATCCATGTTGTAGCCTGTGACAGAATTTCCTCTGTTTTTAAGGCTGAATAATATTCTGTTGTATATATATATATACAACTTCCATTGTTTATCCATTCCTCTGTTGATGAACATTTGGGTTGCTTCCATCTCTTGGCTAATGTGAATAGTGCTGCTATGAACACGGGTGTGCAAATCTCTTTGAGACCTTGCTTTCAATTCCTTTGGATATATACCCAGAAGTGGGATTGCTGGATCATATGGTATTTGTATTTTCAATTTTTTGAAGAAATTCCATACTGTTTTCCATAGCAGTTGCACCACTTTACAATCCCAACGGTGCACAAGTGTTCTAATTTCTCTACATCCTTGTTAACACTTATTATTTTCTGTTTTTGATAGTAGCCATCCTAACAGGTGTGAGGTTTGTATTTCTCTGATGATTAGTGATGTTGAGTATCTTTTCATATCCCGATTGCCCATTTGTATACCATCTTTGGAGAAATGTCTATTCAAGTCTTTTGCCCATTTTTAAAATCAGGTTATTTAATCTTTTGTTGTTGAGTTGCAGGAGTTTTTATATATTCTGGATATTAACCACCTATCAGATATGATTTTCAAATATTTTCTCCCATTCCATAGGTTGCCTTTTCACTCTGTTGACTGTATTCTTTGATTGACAAAAGTTTTCAAGTTTGAAGTAGTCCCATTTGTCTATTTTTTGTTTTGTTGCCTGTGTGCTTTTGGTGTCACATTCAAGAAATCATTGTCAAGTCCAATGTCCTGAAGATTTTCTTCTATGTTTTCTCCTAGGAGTTTTATAGCTTTAGGTCTTACATTTAGGTCTTTAATCCATTTTGACTTAACTTTTGCATATGGTATAATATAAAATAAAATAAGGCTTTGACTTTATTCCTTTGTATGTGGAAATCCAGTTTTCTCAACACTGTTTGTTGAAGAGACTCCTTTCCCCATTGAGTGGCCTTGGCATGCTCAAAGATTATTTGAGAAAAATGGGGTTTTAGCTAATCAGTCTGTGCTTAGCCTTGGATGTAGATTTGGCAACATTTTTCCACTCTTTGGACATTTCCATTTGTTTTTAAAGTAGAGATAACTAAGAAGGACGCTTCTTTTGGGAGTTTTCATAGAAATTGTGCTTAGTGGTAATTAACTGGCAGAAAAAAATTTGTCTGATTTTTTTTCCAGAGCCTCTATTTTGGGTCCTTATTGAAAGTAGTCTAAGATACCTCAGGCTGTATTCTGAATATGCTGCAGTGGTTCCCAAAGAGTGATTGACAAAACACTGGGGGTCCCCAAGACCTTTCCACAGAATCCCCAAGCTCAGAACTATGTTCATAATACTAAGACATTATGTGCCTTTTTCAGTGTGCTGACACTGGCACTGCTGGTGCAAAAAACATTGGTGGGTAAAACTGCTGGCACTTCAGACTCGAGACAGTGACAACTGGCTGTGCTCGTATTGTGCCCCTCGCCACCATGCGCTTGCAGTAGAAAGAGTGCCAGCTTCACTTAAGAATATTCTTGATGAAGCTGTAAAAAGGATTATTAAATCCTGACCCTAGAGACCATGTCTTTTTAATAGTTTGTGTGGCAAAATGGGAAGTACACTTTAAACAACTTCTGCCACACACAACAATGTACGATGGTTGTCTCAAGGAAGAGTACTTGTGCGACTGAGCTACAGGAAAAACCAGCCACATTTTTTCATGGAACACTATTTTTACCTGAAAGCATGACTGATAAACTATGGTTATTCAGACTTGGGCATTTGACAGATATTTTTCAAAATGAACAAAGTGAACCTGTCACTTCAAGGCAAACAACTGAGAGTACTGGTTGCCAATGATAAACTCTGAGCTTTCAAGCAAAAAAATTTTGGAAAGCTTTTATTTACCACAGTGAGTTTGGCAGCTGCCCAATACTTAAAATATTTTCAGATGAGACCAGTAGTGATATTAACAAATGAGGGTTTTTTTAATATCCTAAAATGAAATATTGTCAACCACTGGGAGATTTACAAACTCAGTGAACCAATACTTTCTAATTAAGCAATATATAATGTCACAAAATCATTCATGAGTAAAAGATTAATTCAAAGTACAATAGATTTAAACATAAATGAGTATGAAAAGTGTGTTGATATGGTTTCCTATTCTGGTGGAATTTACCCTTAAGAAACTAGCAATTGTTGAGTTTTGGTGTAATATTAAAGAATATCCAGAATTATGTAAAGAGGTTATTCACATATGCTTCCTTTTTCCAACTACCTACACATGTAGTTGGATTTTCTTTATATATTTCAGCCAGAATAACATATTGCCACGGAATAAATGCAGAAGTAAATATGAGAATCCAGCGGCTTTCTATTAAGTCAGACATTAAAGAGATTTTTCAAACATGTAAAACAATGCCTTTTTAATCTTTTTTTGAAAATATTTATTTTTTACTAGAAAACAAAATGTTATTTATGTTAATATTTAATAGGTTTATTATTGTTAGTTTTAAGCAAACTAATAAATACTTTTAAAGTTTCTCAGTTTTAATTTCTCTAATATGGAAAATGATGATAGATATAACCCACATAAACAAGAGCCCTTTGGGGAGGCCTCAATAATCCTTCAGAGTATAAAGGGGTTGAGAGAACAAAAAGTTTGAGGAATACTATGCTAGAAATGCTGAAGAACTGAAGGCTGTTCTTAAACAGTAACTCAAGATTGGTCCAGAATGAGAAAATTTTTTCCAGATAAAATAGAAATCGATATTAATCACTAACAACTTTAATAATGGTCTTTGTAGATGGTGATGGAAAGTGGGGATTGGCTGGTTGGTGGAGACCTTCAGGTGCTGGAGAGAATAAAGTGGAATGATGGGTTGGACCAATACCGCCTGACACCTCTGGAGCTCAAACAGAAATGTAAAGAAATGAATGCTGGTATGTAGGCTAGCTCTATGCTTTTGTTAATACTCCTTACCATCCTCTGAATACAGAATTGAGGATATCAGGAATCAGTATGTTTATAGTTTTAAAAAGCTGGAAACACCTATCAATATGTCTATTGATATGAACTAGAAATAATTTATAAAGTTGAAGTATATCCATTTGTTGGAATACTATACAGCAGTTAAAAATATGCACTGACATAGAAAGATGCCCAAAGTGTACTTATTACGCAAAATGTAAATTTCAGAACAGTATATATAGCATAATTTTAGAAAACAAAATAAAATATGTATTTTAAAAACCCTAACCTACTTCGGTGTATAGAAGCAGAAGTCTCTGGCAGCATGTGCACCACGCTGCAGATGACAGTGGCTACTTCTTGGGGATGATTTGGACCAAGGGGAGGGGAAGATTTTCACTTTATATATTTTGAAAAATAGAAAAAGTAACGATAGGATTACAGGTGATTTTTATATTCTATTTTTGGCTTTTCTGTATTTCCCAAGTTTTCCATAATGGATATATATTAATTTATTTCATAACCACAAGGAAAAATTAAGCCTCTCAGGAGTCCATCACTCAGCAGAGTAGTTTGGAAGATTTCTTTAAAGTGAGGGTGAAATACTTTTTACGTCTTTAGATTGTTAAAGTCTTGCACAGGCCCCAGAAAATGTTCCTTGTCATTATCTGCCCCGGGGAAGAGAGACTGGAGCCGAGTGCAAGAGGACTGATTAATGCCAGCCCCTGCCTGAGCCTTGGTTTGCAGGAAAGGTCCTCACAACAAACGTTTTCATTTCTGAGTCAGGTGCTCCCTTTAGGGCTTCCTGCCTCTGTGTCCTGTCCCTGTCCAAGCAGTCTGGCATTGGTTGGTACCTTTAGAAGAACACCTCTAAAGACCAGGTGGATTTTCCAGCTGATTATCAAAAGCAAGAGAATATGATAAGTGCACTGAACAAGAAACATAGCTGTGTCTTTCCTTTCTATTCTTGCGGACAAGTGACACTGTGCATTTCTTTGATCTTGGCTTTTATGTGTTCCTTTCCCAGATGCAGTGTTTGCATTCCAGCTGCGCAATCCTGTCCACAATGGCCATGCTCTGTTGATGCAGGACACCCGCCGCCGGCTCCTGGATAGAGGCTACAAGAACCCAGTTCTCCTGCTCCATCCTCTGGGTGGCTGGACCAAGGATGATGATGTGCCCTTGGACTGGAGGATGAAGCAGCATGCAGCTGTGCTTGAGGAAGGGGTTCTGGATCCCAAGTCAACCATCATTGCCATCTTCCCATCTCCCATGTTATATGCTGGCCCCACAGAGGTGAGCAGTTCCCTGAGCTGGGCTATGGGACTCAGAAGTTCAGGCTCAAACTTAGAAGAGCAAATGAGTCTCTGGGATCCTTCTTGCTCATGAGCCGATTCTGGAATCTTCTGGTCTCTCTTCTTCATCCAACTTAATTATCTTTCCATTTAGTATTTGTAAGAATGCTAGAAACCTCAAATCAAACTTGTTATACATTGCCTTTGAGAATATGGAGGTTGGCACGTGAATGAGGTGAACAGTGCAGCTTAACTGGATTATAGGGCAGGTTGTATCTAACCTAATATTCAATTTCCAAAGTTCCAGTTACTCTTAAGTGATTCATCATGCGCTGTGAGCTATATTAGAGAGGAAAGTATGTGTTTAAAAGCTTAATGACTCCTTTTCATCATAACACAGTGAGCCTTTCACACAGAGACTTTCTTTGTCCCCCTGCACCACCAGTGGAGTAGATTTGAACAAGTTTTCGGGGAGTATAATGAATTGAAAAGGTCTCAACCCTTTGGAATGCCCCAAACTGAGTTTAATAAATTAATTCTCTTCAACTAGATCCAAGTTCCAGGCCCTTAGCTCTCCTCTCCATCCTCTGTACTTCTATCTGAGCTTGAAGAGGGCAATTCATTTTGAAATCCCAGTGTTGTGTTGAACTAGAATCAATGTCTGCATATAATTAGCTCATTATTGGCAGTCAGATAATAAGAGATGTTGGAGTTGGTAATTTGCTTTAAACTCTGATTTATTCTGGAGGGATGAAGTGGACAGTAAAATTCACATAGTTCTGTAGAACAGTAAGATCGGAACATTTCTGGTTCACTAACTTGTTTGGAGAGGATATTGGGAAATACAACCGCAGGTTTGGGGGAGGGGGCGTGATTCTTATCTTAAAACTCCTCTCCTACCCAATGTAACAAAGGCTGAAGAAGAGAGCATGGAGTCTCAGACACCTCACTGACTTTCTTGCAATTATTAGTTGATCCACATCACTGAATTACTTTTAAAGCAGAATAAAGGCATCTCTGTAAACAGGGACCCAACAGAATTGGTCGGTGATGACCAGCATGTCCCTTATGTAATGTTTCCTAGGTCCAGTGGCACTGCAGGTCCCGGATGATTGCAGGGGCCAATTTCTACATTGTGGGCCGGGACCCTGCAGGAATGCCCCACCCTGAGACCAAGAAAGACCTGTATGAACCCACTCATGGGGGCAAGGTCCTGAGCATGGCCCCTGGCCTCACCTCTGTGGAAATCATTCCATTTCGAGTGGCTGCCTACAACAAAGCCAAAAAAATCATGGACTTCTATGATCCAGCAAGGTAGGTTTTTCAGAAGAAAATTCTTTAATCAACATCTATACAACTGGAATAATAAGGCAAAATTTTGGCTCTTTGGAAAATTCTCCAGTGCATCTCCACATACTCCTAATTGGAATGAGAGTCCCTTGAAGGCCAAGACCTGGTCTTACATGTTTTGTGTCCCTAAAGTTGTAGCACAGCCCCTTGCATATAGTAGATGGTCCATAAATATTTCTCTTTCAACCTACATTGCTTGAGCGTGCACTGAGTGCCTGGCACATTTAGTGAAAGGAAGTCAATGCAGGAAAAGATTTCGATGAGTCTTTATGGCACATTCACCATGGTAGGAGCTCACAGAAGTAGGCAGAGCAATGAAAGACACTTCCCATGAACAGAGTAGGTACATGGTAAATATTGAATGGATAGCTGCCGTTATTTCCCTTTTCTTCTGGAAGTTCCTTTACTGAAGAGTTAGCAAACTGCCCAATTCTAGAAGATGCTACATTTTACAGAAAGAAAAAATGTGCTCTAAGAATCCATAAATGCATTCCAGAAATCTTTGGGGTAGATGTTATTTACCTGCACTGAGTTCTTTGTTGCTACCCTGTGACAGGCACAACGAGTTTGACTTCATCTCAGGAACTCGTATGAGGAAGCTGGCCCGGGAAGGAGAAAATCCCCCTGATGGCTTCATGGCCCCCAAAGCCTGGAAGGTCCTGACAGATTATTACAGGTCCCTGGAGAAGGACAACTAAATGCCCTTCGGCTCCAGAGTTTCTTTCTGAAGTGCTCTTTGATTCCTTTCTCTATTTTCGTGATTAGATGCTTTGTATCCAATTGCTTCTCAATGACTGATTTTAGTGTTTTATAATGAGGGAAAAATTGTGTTTACAATTTAAAGTCAACTTCAAAATATATATATATATATATATATATATATATATATATATGTATATATAAAATCAAACTGAAGACCAAATCTTAGCAGATAAAAGCAATATTATCATCATTTCAGGATGAAATTAGTTGCATTCTCTACTGCATCTGAGCAGGAAGGTCCCAGATTTCTTAAAGCTTTGACCTTGTGTCTAGTTTACTTGCCAAAAAGTAAAGCATATTTTCCAGCTAAAAGCTTGCCCACCAGCACTCACCCAATGTTGTACACCAGTAATAAAGTAAGTCAGATGAGGAGCCTTTTCTATACATCTGACCAAAAAAAAAAAAAAAAATTTCTCACCCTAAATGAGGTGTGACCCACACGTCAAGAATCTTGCTAACATTTCACCCCATGCCTGTATACAGCCTTACTGCCAATCTCTTTTGTGCTGAAGTATGACTTGACTGGAGAAACCAAATGTGTGAAAATGTGAATTTAATCTCAGATCTATGCAACCTAGTTCTGCCGTGAAAGTTATATTGTCTGATAAGAAAAGAAGTCAATGCCCTTCTGTGAATAAGATAACTCCAGTTAATTGGCAACTTTTAATTAAATAGCATAGAGTGTTTTGATGAAAAGATTTGCACCCAGGGCTAGACAATCTGGCAATGTTGTGGAAAGTTGATTTTTCTCCTCTTTGCTGTGGTCATTGGGTCCCATGGAGAGGCTGTGCCTGTTGACTGCAGCAGTGTCTGCTGTAACCAAAAACAATTCACATTAGCAGACTAGCGAGCTGCTGGAACTGGAAAAGACTGCAGAAAACATGGAATCCAACCCTTTCATCTTACAGGTGACCAAACTAAGACGATGCACAAGCACGTGCTTCGTGAGCTGCTGAGCACTATAACAAAATACAAAACTGGCATTATTAGGAAGTACAGGTGGCACTACAAGAGCATCCAGGCCACTTGACTCCCTGTCCAGTGCCCCGTCTACACTGTACAATACAGGAGCTGGGTCTGATTCCCCTCAACTGCTGAACAAATCTCCTTGAACAGATGGAACTTACAAAGCAGTAAGTGGATGCTGAAAGGTCCCGAGTTTTCTAAACCCAGCTGATTTTACTGCAGTTGAAAAAAATATTGTTCCAAAGACTCATGCTGTTCCGAAACATCCAACCTCTGATGACTTTACTTCCTGGGAGGCAATCTTTTGTACTTCATGCATAATTCCTTGTTGCTAAGGAATATATGAAGAAACAGTACCTTTTGTACATAGATCTCTCTGGAAGAGACAAACTGGAAAGAGAAAACTGTGATTTTTTTCTTATTCTCAGTTTTTTTAAAAAAACGCTAATTTAGCCAATGAAAGTTCTTTTGAGAATAAATTACATACAATGGCCACAGCAAAGTCTAACTGTCTTTAATAGCTTAGTGCCTGTATTCATTTGATCAGAGGTACTCATTACTGCCTTTTTTTAAAACAGCGTATTTATTGAAAACATGAGATGTAGTGCCTTAACCAATATATTTAGTGATTTTTTAATATATTTAAAACTGTTCTGCTCTAGGACCACACTTAATGACAAATGATCATCTCTATGTACAACCGATGCTTGTTCTTATTTTAATAAATTTCTCAAAACAAAGGCTGAGTCGTTTCTGCCTGTCACACTGAGTGTGGGTTGACCACATGAATGTTGAGGGCTTTGTGACTTTGTATAATTGGAAAGAAACAGCAGTAGCTTTCTTTGACCGTAATTAAGAGGCTGTTGCCCTTGTTTGTGTCATTTTTCAAACTGTGCTGTAGGTGTGACACGTGGCCTCAGCCAAGCACTACAGTGATATTTTCAGAGTTGCTGGGGGTCCTCAAGGACCTCACCCCAGGATTTCACTACATGAGGATCTGACCTGTCGTTTTTTCTTTTTTCTAACTTGTTCCCCTTTTCTCAGTGCCCCCAAGGAGTTGCACCAGCAGCGTTGGGAGCAGTTGTGTTTTTTGCCCCACAGCAACTTCTGTACCTCCGCTAATCTCTGCAGTTGCTACTTTTCTATGCAGAAAGGATCTAACCTGTTTCCACCCATGCTTTCAGGCAGGCCTGCAGTTTTGGGTTTTTTCCTCCGTGAGTGCCTGCCTCCTTTTTGTCCTAAAGGCTTCATGGAAGTTTTTCTATTGGTCCTCACTTCAAATAAAACTTGTATAATAGCCAACTCACAGCCACCACTTGTTGCCCCTCCCTCTTTCTCCCCAGAGGCTTGCTGGCTCCTAGTGACAATTAGCAGGACAAAAAAAGGGCAGGAAATGTGTAAGTCCTATGAAGACGTAAGTGGTGCTGAGGGAGCATGCCAAACTGTACGGGGCAGTGTGAGAGAATCCTGGAAAGGCATATGTAAATCATTGGGTCAGATAACGGCAGACTTACAAATATATCAACACTTATGTCAGCCACAAGATTTCTTTCCAACCCCTATTCCCTGCAAGAAGAAACATATCTTGGTTACTTGAGAACAGCAAGTTGGTTTTTGCTTTTTCCTCATCTTCCTATTACCTGACTTTTTAGGTCTAGCACTGATCTTCAATAGACTTTCCCGATTGGTTATCAGAAATTAGATGGGCACCAGATCAATCAACTGTTCTCATGTCTAAAGCATTGATGGAACAATAGTGCAGCTTTTGCCTATGAAGTTGAATGATACAGGTTTCTATTATTCAGGCATATCCCCTAATATCCCCTTGCATAAATTATCAAGAATCGACTATAGCTATCGAAAGAGTAACCACTTATTTTTGTCGTCCCCCAGGATGCATTTAATTCTTTGGTCAATTTTAACTATTATTGGGCCACTCATCATACACATTCATCAAATGTGATATACAAGCAATTCACTAATATACACTCCAAAGGGCTGCCTAATTGTTTTGCTTATAGTTTTGTTGAAATTATTACTAAAAACAAATGGGGCACTGGCTAGAGTTTGGACATTTTAGTTGGATACAGAAAAACCTAGACAAAATAAAAATAAGACTTTTCCATAGGGCTAGCAAAGAATGGTGGGTGCAAGGAAGTCTTGAACTCAGAAAGAAGCCTTTCAGAGGTGAGCCCTGGTAGGTTTTCAATGGCTTATCTTTTGTAATCGAGGTGCTTCCCCCCAGCCCCCAAGCCTATTACCCTTTTCACAGACCTTCTGATTTGGATTTATTGGAGGGAACACCTGTCTAAAGGAGTAAGAAATCTAAATTATAGAATGTTTTAAAAAGTAATACAGTTTTATCACCTTCAAATAAATAAGCAACAACTGATGGGCACAGCTCTTTTAATGTCATAATATATGTTTGTAATTGCTGGCATCACTAATACACACTTCATTTGGTAAAGTTCCTAAATATAGTTGGTTTGTTTCAGAAGCTTAAACTTGCTCTGCACCTATTTTACTAAAATCATGTAAGTGAAATTTCTTATAAAGTGTAATATATTACACAAACTTCCAGGTAAAGAAAAATCTTGATTTATGTTTATTGCATAAGCCTGCTTTCCATAAATAGCTCAGAGGTACAGTTCAGTTGAGCACAGGTTCTCATAATAATGGACTGCTTTCACGTAAAGAACTCCAATACTGATCTGGTATTTTAAACTAGTTAAGATTGCCCCTATAAATATATCTGCTAAGGAGAACCTAGTTATGGAAGAAATGAATTCCATCAACCACTAAAGAGGTTGTATTACCCCATCCTATTCTCCGATCATAAAAAGAATTATATAAAGTACCAGGTCTTTGGATATTCAAGGTAAACCACCAAAGAAAAAGCTTACAGCTCCAACAGAGTGAAGGAAGTAAGTTTAATAAACAGAAACACCAGGTACATGGAAGTGTCTGTGACTTGTCTACCTCACAGCATGTCTCAGAATTTGTGCCTATTAAAACAAATCCATTTACCAAGGCTGACACAAATCAGACGCTAAGAAAGCCACCCAGTTTAGAATTCCTGATGATCAGGTCAGTATTGCGAAGGGCCCTATGTCTGTCAGTTTGGCCACTGTTGCCACAGTGTGCTGTTTAGTGAAAACTGGGATGGGAACTTAAAATGCATCTATTTCAGCATCTCCATTATTGTACAGATAAGGAAACGGAGGCCCATAAATGTGAGATTTGCCTAAGGACATAACCTACAGCCATTTCACTTCCCAACTTCCAAAGCATTTTCACAGGCTTCTTAGAACAATCCCAGAACATACATGTTAAGATTCCTATTTACAGATAAGGGAACAGATGCCAACAGAAGTAAAGAGATTTGCCTAAGGCAACTTTGCTTCATATATACATATTATATTATATATATTATAAAAGTTCCACACGTGGGATTGAAACCTATAAAGTTGAAAATGACTTGTAATAAGCCTCTGCACAATTTCTTCTGCTAGAATGTACAAGGATGTGAAAGACCTTCACTCCCACAGTAACGAGAAACCGAGACAAAATAAAAAATAATACCTTTCTACGAGGCTGGCAAAGAATGGTGGATGCAAAAAATTCTTCATGAACTGACTTCTGGGGAGAAATAAGCCCTTCAGAGGTGAGCACAGAGCCTTGGGACTTGTTTATTCCAGGGGCAGACTCCTGATTCTGGATGTAGGGTATGGAAGAGCAGGCAGGCCTGCCTTAGATGGAGAGACTTTGCAGGGATGAGAATTCAGTCAACCCTCAGACAACGGTGACTGCAACCTGGAAACATATTCAAAAACAAACTGCTAGACTAGACCATCCCCTTTCCCTGCATTCTGCAGAGAAAGTGGCAGAAGAGGAGCTGGGAGTCCTGTGCATTCTCTCAGTGACTGGAGGCCAGAACTCTGTCAGAACTGAATACAAGGAATCACAAACATCTGACCTGCAACCCAAACTCCTCCCAGGTCAAATACTGCTGAGATCAAAAGGCTGCTGCACAGGAGAGCAGGGGCTGGGCTAAGCCCCGTCAACACAATCTTATTAAAGCAACAGGCCATGGGGCCTGGCTGGTGGCATGGTGGTTGGCTTTGCGTGCTCAGCTTTGGCAGCCTGGGGTTCATGGATTCAGATCGTGGGAGTGGACCTGCACACTGCTCATCAAGCCATGCTGTGGCGACATCCCACGTACAAAATAGAGGAAGATTGGCACAGATGTTAGCTCAGTGACAATCTTCCTCAAGCAAAAAGAGGAAGATTGGTAACTGACAACAGATGTTAGCTCGGGGCCAATCTTCCTCACCAAAAAAAAAAAAGCTACAGGCCAGACCCAACCTAACTAAACTCTAGGAGGAATGGGAATGATCACCCTTGGTCCTAACTGCCTGTAAGAGGAAAGGGCTTGCACTCCCAGAAAATAAAACAAAAATCAATGTTACACTTCAGTCTCCACTGTTTTTTCATACCCATTATCTGGAACAAAACAAATTACAAATTAAAAAGTGGTCACCTCGCTAAAGAGTTGGGCATGCCTGGAAGCACTCCATCATCAAGTGAAGTAGAGCTTATGGGATTGGACCAAGCAGTCCCTGAAGGCCTTGCACACAAACTGTACTGTATGTTGCTCATACTTGTAGCGTGCCCACTTGAGTTATAACACTGCCTTCATTTAGCATTATGGCTTCATGTGACCAGCTGGTTGTCATTGTTTGTCCAGACACCTTCCTCACAAACTCAAGTTCCTGTGGATGAAATACCGCTCTCCTTTTGCATTTAGTCTTGACGAGTCAGTAAATCCAGATACTTGCTCTCAGACCATTTAAACCAAAGGAGTTCCTGGAGGGCCATTCTTTCAAAGCTGCGGACTGCCAGGGCTGATTTCTGACCTGGGTTTGCACGCTGATTTCCAGGACTTTGAATCCTGAATGTGGCAATTTAAAGATAAACAGTTGGAGTTTGTTTAATCCACTGGAGGAATAAAAGCAAGATTCTTAAGCAATTCCTACTAAAAAACCTTCTAGAGCTTTGAGTTTCTATCCTTTAAGGCCAGTTCTATGGCTTCCCTTTGATCTCATGAGCTCCCCATACACTTCAAGTAACTTCTATATTATTGCTTAGGTCGGCTAGAGTGGGTTGCATGCAATAGAACCCTAACTGGCACTCTTTCTAAGACTATGACTACGGCCCAGTAGATACTGCTCACCTCCCTCAGACATGTCTGCAGAGGACTTTACTGGATGCAGTACCATCCCCTATTTGAGTATCTCTGCCATTCTTAGAAGTTCTGGAAGCTATGCATCTTCAGAACAGTGGGGCATATACCATTGTGTTCTGTTCTCAGTCCCAAGTTTTTCATGTCAGTAATTATTTCAATGTTTGGCTCTTGTTTTAAAACCGAGCTGTCATGAATCAAACCTGTATTCTTGACGCATTCCATACCAGCATTAACATTCACTGGCACTATATTTCAAAGCATAAAAGCTTACATCTAAAAGTGTTTTTAAGTTGATTGATAACTGCAAATATTAGACAATCACAAAAATGTACTTCCAGTTCAGTGTTTTAGTAATAAGACCCTTATGCACTGTTAGTATTAACCAGTGTTACTGAGGATGTTTTGTTGTTATTCACATTACTAACTGGTTTTTTAAGTTTGATTTCATTTGTATCTGGCATCTATGCTATACGTCTTCTCCTCAATGCAATTTCATGAACATGATGACTTGGACAGAATTTTCACCTATACTTGTAAAGAAAGCTTTAACTTGTGAGATGATTAGGGAACTCCATCTTTGATGACTAAATCTACAATAAATCTAATAATGAAGGCTCTCTAAAGATTTCTGTCACCTCTAAATGGAATGATTCTGACTTTAGTTGAGGCTTCCAATCGGTGCTGCGGTTTTAGTCATGCAGGATATATGCTCAGCATATCAGAATTCTATTCAATATTCTGACACTGACTTTATGAGAAGCTAAAAAGAGAATTATAAAAATATACATCATCCAATTTATTTTCTTTATCCAGAAGAAAGTTGTAACATTTGTCCACAAACAGCACAATTCTAGTAAATAAAAAATTCCTACCAAGGAGGGATGCTGCCATTTTTACACAGGTACTCAAAGCTTGAGACAGCCTCATCTAACACTGACTCTGTAAGTTATAGCTACTAACCGTTAGGTTATTATGGTCCATATAGAATATTTAGATTATCCCAACCCAGTTTTGATAAGATGGTGAGTTCTGGGTCACCCTACAGGTTGGGGTTTGAATGAGATAGAAAGGAGAGAAATCGTAAAAGAGATACTGAATCGATTCAAATATTGAGCTACTAAGTTCTATTTATCTATTTATTTATTTGAGGAAGATTAGCCCTGAGCTAACTGCTGCCAATCCTCCTCTTTTTGCTATGGAAGCCTGGCCCTGAGCTAACATCCATGCCCATCTTCCTCTACTTTATACGTGGGATGCCTGCCTCAGCATGGCTTTTACCAAGCGGTGCCACGTCCGCACCCAGGATCCGAACTGGCAAACCCCGGCCCGCCGAGAAGCGGAACGTGCGAACTTAACCGCTACACCACAGGACCGGCCCCAACTAAGTTCTATTTTAAAAAGGGCCTGGTATAGTTTGAAACACATCAACTTATCAGAAGTTGCCCAATGATGAGGCTTTTAGAGAAACATCACACAGGTCATCATTTCAATCACAATCCCTAGAGTACAGGCCTAGGGATCATGGAAATGCTTTGAGTATAGAGAATTCTCTAAAATTGAGCCTGGTCAACAGCTACGTACATCAGTGTGAAAAAGTAATAAAATAACATGGTAGCTAATATTTGAGCAGTAATTGTGCCAGGCACTGTGCTGAGTGTCTTACATGCATCATTTCATTACACAACCCTCTAAGGTGGGTGCCACTGTCGCTCCATTTTATAAATGAGAAACTGAGGCTTAAAGAAGTTAAGTAACTAGTCCAAGGACACATGGTTAATTAATGGAGAGCCGGGATTTAAACTCAGGCAGTCTAACTCTAGATCCAGTACTCTTAACTTACCCACAGTGAAATACCTTAGAACCTAGAATCCAACATATGTCAAATGCATGGAACAGAAGAAGAATAGATTATCTAACACTAAATGCTCTTTAAAATCATATAATAGTTTCCTCAATTACTTTAAGGCATTAAGATGCCTAGATGAGTCATGATTGCTGGGATTAGTGTATTTCTCTAACTTCATTGATGATTAAAATCATGATAAATTTAATAACTTCTACTGTAAGATATTCTGAATTTAAGAGAAGATAACAAGAAAGGACATAAGGAGGAATATATCACCCCTTATTTTTGACCAATAAATCCTCAGCTTAAAATTAAAGGATTACTAAAATTCATACTAAAACAAAATAATGATTAGATACTAGAATGTATGCAAGAGTGAAAGCAGCATGGCAAGATAAAAAGAGTCTAAGTTTTAGAAACCAAAACAACCCCAGAAAACTTTACATAACTGAAAAGACCAAGGAGTAAGTAGAGAAAAATCAATAAAGAGGGACCTTTTTATTACATATTTATAAAATAATAGTATAATATAGTTATTAAAAATGGAGACGAAATTTTTTATTTTTGGTTATCTCATGTTTTGCATTCAATATTTCGATCTTCACAATTTTTCAAAACTTGCTTTTTGTTATCCAAAGTGTTCTCCTGCAACCTCTACCCCACTCAAAGCACAACTGAATAAACTATCCAACAGGTTCTAGTGAAAGACTTATTATCAAAGAAATTAATCCAATAACTCATGAATAAAGACTGTTTTCAAAGAAATACAATTAAACAATATGAAGCATAATTTAATCTTTCTGATTATTCAGAAGGCACCTGAAGATCATATTGCGCCATTTTCCTCATGCTGTGTGTTTAAGTGCTTCTAACAGAATTCTGGTTAGTGAAATTTTGAACAAAAAAATGTTTCATATGCACTGCACATAGCATCAAATGACTACAATTACAATATGGGAATTTTGATGTGTACATTTGCACTAACTAGGGCGTAATTTATAATATGCTAAGAAAACTGTAAAAATTAAAATTATAAAATGAGTATTTTTAGCACATTTAGTAATAGCTACTTGTTTTAAACTATCATTTCATTTTTGATGATGAAATTATATTTGACCATAATTAAAGAACATACAACTTTAAAATAACATTTAAAAAACCACAGTTACAACAGAACTATGTTACATTAAATGAAGAAAGGAAAGTCACACACATGTATTGAATGGCACTGAGGTTTTTCAAAGCCATTCTTTTGAAAGGCTTTCAATCCACCTTTACATATATCAATTTAACAAATGTCTCTACTCAGTGTGTTTGCATAAAGAGGTGAAATCACTGTTGATCACACAACTGCCTGACAACCATTCAATGCTGATCAGTGAACAAGTATTTTTATTTGATTATCCTGACAACTGTAATAATTGAGCCACATCTAAATATTCAGATGTGCCTGTCCAACTATTCAACTGCAGAGAAACGCTCAACTTAAAAAAAAGTGAAACAAGCAACAACTGGAAATGGCTGAATCACTGTACCTTTTAGACACAACCTTAAATCTCAGTTTTGCTATATACTATGTGGTACTTTTGGATTCAGTAGTTGGGGTAAAAAAAAGTTGCTGTATTCAAACGTATCTACAGAATGTCAATATAAAATGTGTGAATATATACATTTAATACACACACACACACACACACGCACACACTCACGAAACCAGCACTTAACCACATCCCTATTTCTCACTAATGACTCAATGAATCATTTGTTACTTTCAGACCAGCTTAGATGCTATAAGGCTGCAACATATGGCTAAAGAGGTCAAACACAAGCACCCACATTCAAGCTGGATTAAATTGTTCCTCCTCATGATTTCTGACAAGTAGTAATACCGTTTATATAACAACTATGTCTTAATAACTTAGAATTCAGAGTATAAAACCAGTGTCATAAACATTTAACTCTCACTGTTTACAGAACGCTCCTCCTTCCATTCTATTTCCAATAACGGTAAGAGAGCACACCAAACTAGGTCACATTGAACTGTACAAACCATCTGTACTCTTAATCCAAACAAACATGTGTTAACACATTCTGAAATGCTGCATCCTTTGATTTCTTCATCTTTTCTATTGCCCGATGCAGATCTTGTTGTTGCACAGGCCGAATTTCATCTTCATCATGGCTAAAATGCAAACAAAACCACCAAATATTCAAATAGCTTTAGAATACACATCCCTAAAATATTTTACTAAGATTAAAAATCTCTTTCCCATCCAAGACCCCAAAGACAACCAGAATTAAGAGCCTCATGTGAAGACTTTCAGGAATGATCTATGCATATACAAATCTTAAGAGCTTTTTAAAAAGCTCTGACTACTAAGAGGTATGAAGCTAAAATGGCTGGCTATCAACATTATACCTATGGCAACTAAAATCAAATACATCACATAAGAATATAAGTAAAGATTATCATAAGGTGAAAATGTTATATAAAGGAGTGTCAGTTTACCTAAATGGGAATATAATTCAAGTCAAAGACTCTAAAGTTATTTCCATGAAAACTGGAATTAAAAAGCAGCATTCCTAGGTATACGTTCATGTACATGTTTAGCTTCTGATGAACTGCAAATAAAATCCTTTGCTAGTATTAAAACACAACTAAGCTAAGTCCTCCCCAAGCCAATAATGAGAAAAACAAAATAGAGTATACCTCCCTTGCAATTTACAAACAGGAGAAAACATTCAGGGAAAAAGTTATGATAACCTAAGTCTATTAGTCAAATCTTTCATACTGAAATACAACATTTTCTGGACTTTGGGGACAGCAGAAAACAGTACTTTCATTATTAAGGTAATTTATTTAAGAAAAATTTATTCATAGGTTGTTTTTTCCCTCCTCTGAATCTTACATAAAGAATAAAAACCTTTGGAGGGCAGATTCTTGGCTACAGAGATCAAAAGTATTCCCAACTTTAGTGCTAGAGTAGCTGGATCAATCTGGCAACAAATAAATCGAGTGACCCTCTCCATGAAGAGGCCCAAGGAGCACTCAAGACAGGTCCTGAACTAGTGCATACATGGCTACTAATTAACAGGGTAGCTTTCATGCAAACCTTCCTATACCAAAGGAAACTTTTGGGGAAGCTTGCTATGGCGATGCACTGTAACTAAACATATGAATAAAACAAGCAAACCCAGGTCACTTGGAGTGAAAGCCTCAGGGGGATGAGAAAGGGAGACTTAGAAACAAAGGGACAAGAGGTGGAAAACTCATTCAACAGAAGCCGTCAAAACTACACTGGTTTGCTGTGTCAGAAATTCTTCATTGGCAGGTCGGTATTTTGAACAGGGGTTTAGAAATGCAGTAGTACATGGGTTCAGGGCAAGTGGCCTTTTGGGAAACTTCCTTAAGGGACATGGTTCCTCAGAGCTGAGTTACTCCAGTTCACTAGTATCTTTGCTGGAATAAGGGTGGTCCAAAATTGGTTTTGAAAGCTCACGGTACTTTGAAACTGGTTTTACGTGAACTTTTTTTGCAGTGACAAATGGTTTCTTTGTTTAGTAAATACATTACTGTTAACAAATTGAAATTTAGTCCCCAGCAACGTCCTCCCATTTACGTGTGAAATTTCTGGAAGACCAGGTACTCATTTCCATAAGAAATGAAACTTAAGAATTTAATATACAAAAGCAATCCTAGGGTACTCGAGAACCGTTTTCCTAGCAGAGATGGGCAAGCCTACGTTTCTGCCAGTTTCTGTGATCCAGCTCATGGACTTCTAGTAGAAATTCAGCTTTTATTTCTTCCTCTTCATTCCAGACCCTCCCCACAGTCCCCTAACCCTAATTCATTTTCAGAACTTCCTTTTAGAAAAAACGCAATAAATAAAGTTGAGGGGCAGGGTGTTAATTCCAATTTAACTTTCATTCCATAAGCAAAACTGGTATTGTAAAGCAAAATAAAAGAAACTAACCTAAAAGCTCTAAAAGGGTTTGACTAACATTAGAGATCAACTCTAAATACACATACCTTTCTTCTGATGTAGAATTAACATATTCCCTGACACAGAGGAGGGCAGCATCTCGACACATCTCTTTTAGGTCACTTCCTGAAAACCCATCAGTTTCCTGGGCAACTTCTAGCAGGTCCACATGCCTATCCACCTTAAACACATAGAAAACAGGCTTAAAAAACAAATACAAAATATACTGCAGGGGCAGGCCCCATGGCCAAGTGGTTAAGTTCGTGTGCTCCGCTTCAGTGGCCCAGAGTTTTGCCGGTTTGGATCCTGGGCAAGGACCTAGCACCGCTCATCAAGCCATGCTGAGGTGACGCAAGTAGAAGGAACTACAACTAGAATATACAACTATGTTCTGGGGGGCTATTGGGGAAAGAAGAAAAAGAAAAAAAGACTGGCAACAGATGTTAGCTCAGGGCCAATCTTAAAAAAAAAAAAAAAAAAAGTACTACTGTTCAACGTTAATTTAAAAAATAAAATAAAATAAAATATACTGCAAATGGTATATCCAAACACTCTTTTTAAAAGATTTTATTTTTTCCTTTTTCTCCCCAAAGTCCCCCGGTACACAGTTGTATACTCTTCGTTGTGGGTCCTCTAGTTGTGGCATGTGGGACGCTGCCTCAGCGTGGTTTGATGAGCAGTGCCATGTCCGCGCCCAGGATTCTAACCAACGAAACACTGGGCCACCTGCAGTGGAGCGCGCAAACTTAACCACTCGGCCACGGGGCCAGCCCCCAAACACTCTTTTTAGAATTAAAGAACATTAAGCATATTGAACTAGCAGGGGTGGAGAATCACTAAAAAGTATTTTCAGTTTCTGGGAGGGTTTTTTTTTTTAGCCATAAAGCTTAAAATTTGAAATCTAATTTTCATTAATTGTCGTTATGACCAAAAGAGTTAAATAAGTTTCACTACATATCTCATGGAGTGAAGAGGAAGAAGAGGCATTTAAACACTGCTAGATTCACTTCAGTACCTCTTAGGAAGGTCCTCTTTTCTACAATATGCTCAATGTACTTGGCACATAGCCTACATCATTAAGTCCCAAATCTGTAACAGAAAACATATTCCACTGAAATATTCTAACATTCAGTTAGCTGTAAAGTTTTGACATTTTACCATCTCAACACTAATTCAGCACCTATAGTCTTGCTCCCCAACCTAAGCATAACAGTCAAGCCAATTAAGTGATTGTCCTGGGCACATAACAAACTTGGGATAATATCATCATACTAAACTTACTGTAGATTAAGAGAAAATGAGTAAGAAAAAAAGGTACTTATAATAATTACCATCTATTAAATGATTCCTTTATGTCATTCACTGTGCTAAGCACCTTACATGTATTATTCTCATTTAATCTTGTCAGGTAAGTATTCTCATTTTCATTTTCAGATAATAGTGAGACCTGGAAAGGTTAAATAAATTGTCCAAGGTCACACCACTGCCAGAGCCAGGATTTGAATACAATGCAGTAGAGGTCCAGCTGTATTTTTCCCCCATATAGCTAAGCACTTGTTTTAACATTTACCTTATGCCATTGATTTAAAATACCAACTTTATTAGTTACTAAATTCCCATTTGTTTTTGTGGAAGTGTGGAAACCCAGTGTTTAAGTAAGAACAGCAACTCTGCACAAGGACACAAAACTGGGAGGTGAGAAGACATGGGGTCTACTGTCAGCTTTGAAACTGGGACCTCACATGATAGTGTTCTCATTCCTAAATATGGGAGTTCAATAAAGAAAAATCATATTCTTCGATAAAAAGAGAAGTGAACCCATAAAGTAGGTGTGGAACAAGCAGCAATTATAAACAAATAAATAAACTGAAATAAGCTTTAATATGTAAGCAGTAAAATAATCATTTAATTTGGGGTAGAAAAACCATGTAAAGACTAGGCCGGTGAAAGACAAGATTAGACTGTATAAAAAACCAAAACGTAGTTATTTGAAATTTATAATAGTCACACTCTGTTGAAAGGGAAAATAAAACAGGCTGGGTGCGACATTTGAAAGGAAAAACCCCAAAAGTTGCAAGTAAAAGATTGAAAAAGGTACACAAGGCAAATATTAACCAAAAGAAAGTGAATGTAGCTTCTATTTACATCAGATCAACAGATTTTTAGTTGAAATGCATAACTTGGAATAGAAATCATTACATAATGATAAAAAATAATTCATCAGAAAAACTGAACAATTCTGCACTGGCATATCCCTAATAACACGGCCTCAAAATATAACAGAAAAAATTAACATAAATTCATAGAGAAATGGAGAAGTCCACAATACTGGGAGATTTTATTTACTTACTTTTTTTAAAGATTGGCACCTGAGCTAACAACTGTTGCCAATCTTTTCTTTTTCTTTTTTGCCTTTTTATTCTTCTCCCCAAAGTCCCCCAAGTACATAGTTGTAGATTCTAGTTGTGAGTGCCTCTGATTCTGCTATGTGCCTCACGCTGCCTCACTGTGGCCTGATGAGCAGTGCCATGTCTGCGCCCAGGATCTGAACCAGCGAAACCCTATGCCACTGAAGTGGAGCATGCAAACTTAACCACTCGGCCACGGGGCTGGCCCCTGGGAGATTTTAAACTTATGTCTCATATACTGATACATCAGAAAATAAGTTCCTACGGTTAGTTAAAGTTAGCACCTATGATCTAATTAATAATGTACACACATAAAACTTAACTAACTGCTTATAGGAATTTTGTATAATTTGAATATTAGTCCTTTGTTGGTTACAGGGTTGCAAATGTTTTCCCAGTGGCTTGTTCTTTCACTTTGTTCATGTTATCTTGCCATACTTCTAGAAGCCTTAAGGCTGATTATAGTCAGACTTTTCTTTCCTTTGTACTTTATTTTTTGTGTCTGAGAAACTCTTCTTACACATGTACATAAAAAATCAAACACATACAAGGATCCAATTTTCCTACTGTTTGTAATAATGAAAGAGTAAAAATAACCTACACCTACACGTGTATTATGTTTCTATCCACATGTATTCATGGAACTGATCACACTACCAACTTCAGGACAGCAGGCTACCAATGATGGTAACCAGGGGGGAGATACGAAGACAAATATATTAAGATCATCTCTTAAATCTGGGTGGTGGATATAAGGTTATTTGTGTATATGTTTCAAATATTTCATAAATTTAAAAAGTTACTTAAAAAGACCTTCCAAATTCTACTTGGAGATTTAAAAATCACTTCTCCTCCCTAAAATAACCAACACCTCCACCCTATCCTGTGACCACTCCTTTGTTGGGCTACACCATGTTCTAACCACTCACAAATCTTGTGCATGACAGGTGATAAAATTCCAAAGATGAATAAAACAAGTATGAGAAAAGGAGAAAAAGGAGAAGATTCCAGTCACTAGGGGAGCAAGATTACCTCACACCATAATATTTGCACACCATAATGGTTAAGAGAAAGGCTCCATCACTACTTTGCTATGTGAGCTCGGACAACTTAGTACATAACTTCTCCGGGCTTCAGTTTCCTCAACTGTAAAAGCATACTAACATGTACTCTTTAGATGAACTGATGATTAAATAAAATAATGTATATCTCACCACAATGCTTGGGACATAGCAAGTACTCTAAAAGTAGCCCTTTTTATACGATAATAGCTATTAGATAAACCATGAAGTAATGAGAATTATTTTCATTAGGCAACTTGCAACTTAAAAAAGGTTTTGAGTATTGGGAGCAATACTGCACTAAATTAAGAGACACAAAATAGCTTGTTGAAAGAAGAACATTTACTTGTGTGCAGTTATTTTATGTACACTCTGTACTTGCACGGTACTATAAGTATTTTCATGTATCACTTAATTTACATTCTCAAAATGATTCTATGAGATTGTTGACATTATCTCCAATTTCCAAGTGAGAAAAAAGAGGAATACAGATGCTAAACAATATTCGCCCAAGGTCATACAGCAGGGAATGGTCAAGCCAGAATGTGGAACCCTCAGGTCTGTCTCCAAAGGCCATACTTATTAACCATTCCTGCTATGTTACAGAAAATCCATAAACTGAAGTTAGTTTGTATAGGGAAAAAATCCTATTTCCTTACTGTAGTGTCAAACATAATGCTTGTATGAGGTATAAATTTTTTTAGTTCTAATTCTTTTTATACTTGAAACTTTAAGCCAAAACCCCTATACTGTCTTCTATGAGCGAGCTGCGTAAAGGACCTATCAATAAAGAATTGTGAAAGACTGGAAAACAGTATCATTTCAAAAGCTTTATTCTTTTCTTCAGAGAAGAAAGACTCATAAAATATAAAAGCCTGGTAGTCTATTTGCATCAAAAACCCTAATTCTGATCAGCAATATATAAGCATGACGGTGCTCAATTCATTAAATTAATGTGTGGTGCTACTGACTCAAGGCATCTTTTAACCAAATTACATTAATTTCTTTCAGATTCTATTGAAGTAACAATATGTCTTGCGCGTACAAATACAAATAGTGGGAAATCAGCCGTTCCCATGTCAGCAATTACCCAGAGAGCATTCATATTTTGCATCATAAAACTGATTAGAGACTAATCCTTTGTGCTTTCATGAACAAGAAACAGAATGCTAAAAATTCCCTGTACCCATGACAAATGTAATTCTCAAAGAATTTCCAAAAATACTACTGTTTAAAAAAGCAGAATACTGACACCAAAGTTTAAACTAGACATAATGAGTAGTTTCTTAAGTTTAAATGTGAAAACTTAAGATAGCCATACTTTACACAGGCTACTATGAGACAGAGCTTAAATCTCATCATTTATATTCATCATCTGTATGTAAATCATCTAGATCTTCATTAGACCACATATGTGTGGTTCAAAAATGTTAACTTCCAGTCATGTAATACCATCCTTCATTAAAAGTTTTTTAATTAAATAAATGTACTAGTTAACTTGTCTCTGCAAAACCGTCATCAACTACCTTCTAATAATTCCCAGCCTCATCATAGCCACCCTAATTCAAAAGAACTTGTGACATTATTTTATCCACTTTGTTTTCTTCTCTGAACTGTACACTAATGCCTATCTTTGTTAAAGGTTTACCAATTAAAGGTGGAGTTTTTTGTGTTAGAAAATATAACAATGTTTTTTAAGTGTGTTTTATGTAAACAGTACTATAAATCATATCTTTTTGAAAGCAGTTAACAAATATTCAATTAAAAGGCCAAAAATAATTTGTTGATTTCTCACTCATCTAAGACAGGAGTTCCTTGCCTAGACTACATGGAGGGTTTTAGGAATTTCTCTGAAATTATACAAAACATTTCATGTATACATACAGTTTTTAGAGGAAGGACTACACAGCTTTTATCTCTTTATTAAAGGGCTCTATGATCCCCAAAATGGTTAGTAGCCAATGATCAATCTCTGTAATTTGCCAGGTTCTTTAAACTTCTGCAAAATAGCATATATGTTATATTGATATTTTTTAAAGAAATACATGAACAGAACACTACTGAAAGATACAAGAGAAGACCTGAACAACCAGAAAGACATAAATGCTTTTGGGTAGAAAGATTCAACATCAAAAAGATCTTAATTCTCCTGAATTATGATCCACCAAAAACACTAGTGTTTGTTTTTTCTTGAATAAAACAAGTTAATTCTAAAATTCATACAGAAAAATGAGCAAAAATCACCAAGAAACTTTGTGTTGGGGACAACAAGGAGTGCCTAGCCCTACTTGCTATTAAAACTTATAAAGCCTCAATAATCAAAATAGTGTGGTACTGGTGCATAAAGACATAAAAGACCAATCATCTGAATTCAAAGTCCAGAAACAGCCCGTACATATGAGAATTGAGTATACAATAAAGGTGGCATCACTAATGAGAAAAACGACTATTCAACAATTGGTATTGGGAAAACTAGGTATCCATCTGGAAAATCAAAAGCAAAGTTTCATTTAATTTCACACGAGTATCTGGATATATACCAAATATAGCAAAGATTTAAATGTATAACATAAAACCATAAAGGACATCCAGATAGTATGTATCTCCTAATGGAAGAATATAATTTTACTTAAGTAGTAGTCCTGTTTCCCCTCCCTGACAACGTGAATTTGAATCTCATCCAATCTCTTGATCCAACCACCAATTTTAGAGGAACAATTTAAGTGCAATGAGCAAAATTCAGACTATAGAAAAATCTGGACAAACTCAATCTGGTTTTTTCAACAAATAAATTGAAAGGGAGTGGGAGGAAGGAAGAGAGAGAGATAAAGGAAGAATCTATAGCTTGTAGATTAAAAGAGATTTAAAAACTATCAAATAATTGCAAATTATGAACTTTATATGGATCTCAAGTCAAATACTTGGTTAAAAAAAGACATTTAGGAGTCAACTGGAAATTTGAACAGACTAGAAATTCAATGATAATAATGAAATATTGTCAATTTTTTGTTAGGTATAATAATGGTAATGAGGTTAGGTTAAAAAAAGAAAAGAATTCTGTCTTTTAGAGATAAAACTAAAATATTTACAGATGAGATATGATAGGAAAACACGGGAGGTGGTGAAGCAGATAGAGTATGGATGGAGCAGAATTAGCCATGGGATTGATGGTGATGCAGAGGAGGAGCAAAATCATTGAATTACAAGTATCCCTCACCATGGGAATCCATTTGGTTTCTCAGTCTGGAGAGCAAGCTCAAATAGTGAGTTTAGGTATGAAGTTTAGGAAAGTGATGAATACCATGTTATTAAAATATACTTGGTTATAGAGTTTTGGGAAAAAGAACAGCCAAGAGTTGCAAAATTCCTTTATAAATGTGGAAGTGGAAAAGCCTTGTTAAACTTAGATTCAAAACCCAGAAGCTATAAAGAAAAAAAAAACACCCTCGTAAAATCAAAAGCCAAACTCGGAAAAATATTTTCAAATCATATAGACAAAGGGCAAATCTCCCTAATACATCAGAGTTCCTAAAAATGTGTAAGAAAAAGAACATTGCATTAGAAAAATGGGCAAAGATTACGAACAGTTACTTCACAGAAAAAAATTCAAGTTCTTAAGCATACAATGATCACTTCATCCCTAAAGAATGCAAATTAAAACTACAATGAGATACCACTTTCTACCCATCATGTTGACAAGGCTATAGGGAAAGAGGCACACTAATACTGCTGGTATAAGAGTAAACTGACACAATTTGGCAATAGCTACCAAAATTATAAATATCTAGCAATCCCTCTTCTGCAAAATTCACCCTACTAATATTCCTGCACAAGTGTGAAATGACATATGTACAAGGTTATTCACTGCAGCATTTTATAATAGTGAAAGACTGGAATCAACCCAGATGTCCTTCAATATGGGACTGATTAAATAAATTAGGGTATATCCACACAAAGGAATCTTATGCCTTGTAAAAAAAAAAAAAAAAAGGAGAGAGAAGAGAATAAGGAAACTATAAGCTAATATGGAAAGATCTCAAAGATAAGTGAAAACAGCAATGCACCAACACCGTACACAGTTTAATATGATTTATGTAGAAAAGGGGAGATGAATAACAGTTTATTTTAATTTGCTTGTATTGGCATAACACCATCCGAAAGGACACAGAAGAAATATAGGGGAAGGAATGAGACTCTTTCCTGCATACTATTTAATATATATTTTTAAATTTTTGAAATGACTATATTACATATTTTTAAAAACTTAAACACAAAAGCTATTTAAGATTTTGATTGCCATACTTTTTAAAATCTAAATTCCAACTTCAAAAAATAGTGCAATTAAATAAAAACCAGGGTCCGTCCCGTGGCTGAGTGGTTAAGTTCACGTGCTCCACTGGGGTAGCCCAGGGTTTTGCTGGTTCAGATCCTGGGCGAGGACATGGCACTGCTCATCAGGCCATGCAGAGGCGACGTCCCACATGCCACAACTAGAAGGAGCCACAACTAAAATAAACAACTATGTTTTGGGGGGACTTGGGAAGAAAAAGCAGAAAAGAAGATTGGCAACAGTCGTTAGCCCAGGTGCCAATCTTAAAACAAAATAAAAAAATAAAACCCAAAAAACCCCCACAACCTCCGTACAAAAATAAGCATATCTTACATAACTGGAAAACAGTCTGAAAAATATTAAAGAAGATTTTACTGTGATGATATAAAACACACGGCTTTTTAAAAAGCAGATTATCTTTAATTAGTTCAAATACACCACAGTTATTGAGCTACATGAGCAGCCAAGAGTGTTACAATAATTTACGTCAGATTCAAAGCTACATTATTCTCAGGTTCCTTTTTCATGTCTCTCTAAAATGATTTTATGAACATAAACATCACATTTATAGGATAGGGAAAAACTGCATTTTTCTACTTACATTTTCATTTTTCAAGATGAGTTTCAGGATTGCTTCTCTTTGTTTTAGAGCCTAAAAAAGGATAATTTCCAGTTAGCATTTTTTAAAAAACAAGTTCAACTAGTTTTCCTAATATTTCTTCCTTTCCTCTTAGCTACCTGACAATACCTACAGGAAATGAAACTCTGACAGACGTCATGGAAACTATTGGCTAAAGTATGGTCTAGATTCTAGACTCTACAGTAATCATTTGTGGCTGTCCTACTGAACGATCTTATTCTGAATCCCCAGTGCCTAGCGGAATGTCTGGGAAATAACACGCCCTTAAATGTTTCTTGAGTGAGTAAATGAACACCTGTGACTACCAGGGTCTTTCATCTGCAGCTCTGCAAATCTCCTTTTCTTCATTTAGGAAACTTCTAAAAACTCACCACTGCCATAAAATTTTACCAGTAAGTGGAAGAGATGGCCACGATACCCCTTCAGTTCCTCCATTTCAACATGTAACTTCCATGTTCACTAATTTACATTAGTGAACTTTAATTTAGCCCTGATAATATATTGTTTATATGCTTGTATGGTCTTCCCCCCAGTGATGCCTTATTATTACACCAGAGAATAGAAACTTGTATAGAATCCCTTACATATACAGTAAATATAAATGCTTTTAAAAATTATTGTGGCTGAACGCATCTCTTTTCCCACAACTATTCAAAAAACAGATCTGGTTACAAATCAAAGGACCTGAAAAACAAAACCAAACCCCGCTGTTTCTGTAATTCAAGTGTGTTACGTATGAAAGTTAATTTGGTATGTTATGTGATCACCAATAACTACTTTTTGGTAATAAACATCTAACTTGGAGAGACATTTTAAGGTAAGGTTAATCATAGACTTTGATGTCATAGTTATGCAACAAGAAAAATAATAGCCCAGTGTGTGTGCGTGTGTATTTATATTTGCTCAAAACAGAATGAAAAGGGGATAAAAATCTCAGTTTCACATTAACAGTATACAAATTTATAACAAATTTGATAAAATCTGTTACAACCCATTTTGATAACTCACACAATTAACATATTAAACTCACAACTTTAGTAAAGGCTACTTTCCATGCTGTTGTATCCTATGTTCTATTCCACTGTACATCAAAAATCTGTTTCCTATTGGACTACAGGCAGAGATTCTATCAAGGTAATCTCCACCTTCAGAACCACTGAGGTAAATTAATTTTAAAAACAAATGTTCAGATGTCTTGCTAACAAAACGGCAATTCTTATGCAAAGCATACAAAGTTCATCTAAACCTGGCAGCAGTCCACCTTCCACGCCTCGTCTCCATCTATTTTCCAGATGCCCTAACTGAACTACCCCCAGAAATCACAAATAAATGTGTGCTTCCACATCTTTGTTCATTCTGGCAGGAAAACTCTTCCTTATCTCATTTGACTATCAGATTCCCACCATCCTTCAAGGCCTACCTGGATTCTATAAATTTCACTACCTCCTCAGATAGAACTATTAGTTTTCATTATCACCTCAGGTTCTCACAATTCTTTAAAAATGCCCTTGTAAAGTACATTTTACATTATTTATGTGTCTGGCCTCCCAGCAACATAATTCTTTGAGGACAGGGGCCACATCCCATTCACCAGAGCCTAGCGTGTGTCTGACACATATTAATGCTTACTAAATATTAGTCATACTAAATAAATTTTACACACTCTTACATCAAGTTAAAAAATCTCCCCATTGATTTATCAGGTAAATTTTCTAAGAGAGTGGTTAAGCATGTGCATCCATCCCCTCAGATGAACCAGATGTTGTAGCTGTAGCAAACAGGTGATCAGAGTAATTTTATAGAGGCCACACTCATCAATTTTAGAAAACCAGGTTTACTGCCACAAACTAATCTGATAAATTGTAGAATATAAAATGGGACAAATGATTTTTAGCCAGAGATTATAAATGGCATGATCATATTTTTATTTCAAAATTTAAAAGGCATGACACTAAAAGTTCCTCTACGTGGCTATACATGTAACATGCTGATTGTATGGAGCATACCTTCTACTACCAACCATGTTTTATTTCCCTTTCTTCTCCAATCTAAAGGCAGACAAAATTCAAGATTTAAGGGTTTTGTGCAAAAGTTATAGAGTACTAATAAGTTATAATCATCTACTTGAGGATTTTTCTTAAGTAATAAAAAAGACTTAGGAAAAAAATAGTACTTGTTTAATATCACTCTCTCATTCGAGTTCTTAAAGTGTAATCTTTTAGCTACTGGTTAACCATTAATTCTGTCAGAGGAAAACACTGATTACAACCATCAATAATTAATCAAATAAATCCCAGTTGTTCTTCCTGTCAGGCCTTTTGAACACAACAATTCTTTAACCTCAATCTCCTTAATTTTGTCCTATGCTAAACCAGAGCTATAATTTAGATTTTCTTATGTGGCTTCCATAGATAACTTGCTACATTCTAAAGAAAAGCACTAAAGTGGCTAGGCAAACGAGGTAATCATATACTTTGAAGAGAAGCAAACAGCATTGATCTTAGAAAAAAAAGAAATTAAAAAAGTGAGGAAGAGAGTGGAAAGGATAAAGAAACAATCATGGAGATTCTTGCTCCATTCCTTCTCTACTTGTCATAATTAAGTTCTGTTAAAAAAATCATTCTCTTCTTAAAATCATAGGTAAAGACTTGTAAAAAAGTGAATATTTAACTTTATAATAACATTCAAAAACACCTACAGGCTGGTTGATATGAAATCTCGTAGGCATTCTTCTCATTATAGCTGAGTCAAGATCCTGAGGACGATTAGTAGCCCCCATCACTATAACCTAAATATACAAAGAAAATACAAGGCATTAAATCTACCAATAATACTCCTTTTAGGTTGCTATTACTAAGGCTTAGAAGGTATAAAAAAGCAATGGCATTTAAATCTTCTATAAGAAATCTGATTTTAATCCAGTATTACTCAAATATTTATAGATACAAATTGAAGTTAATCGTAAATAGATGAAATGACAGCAAAGCTGGTAAAACTGAAGCATTGCAATGGTTAGTAAGTAAAATAATTATTATTCAGTTACTGAAGAATTATAGAAAATTTTAAAACTACTATATTTTGCAAAATACAGTTGTTTAATTGGCTACATGGTCGTTTATGTTACAGCTTGGGAATACATATGACGGGAATCTTCAAGTCCTTTAATAATAATAGTAAGGAAACACTTCCCTTAAGGCTGAAGATTCTGGTACTAGGAATAGATATAACGTATTTTTTCCTCTAGATTTCCCATCAGCATCCCATGACACTATCAGCACTGTGGGTGATATCTTCTCAATGCTAATAAAAACTTAAGCAATCCAACTCTAAACAAGAGCAAGAGAACAAAAACAAACAGCAAAATGCTGGGTAGAATTAAAAAAGAAAGGGCTGGCCCCATAGCCGAGTGGTTAAGTTTGCGTCCTCCACTGCAGCAGCCCAGGGTTTCGCCGGTTCAGATCCTGGGCAGGGACATGGCACTGCTTGTCAGGCCACGTTGAGGTAGCATCCCAAATGCCACAACTAGAAGGACCTGCAACTAAGATATACAACTATGTACTGGGGAGATTTGGGGAGATAAAGCAGGAAAAAAAAAAAAAGAAGAAGATTGGCAACAGTTGTTAGCTCAGGTGCTAATCTTTAAAAAAAAAAATGCTGGTGGCCCTGCCAATTTCTGGGTCTATGTTACTTATTTATAAAGGACGCAGAGATGAAAAATCAACATGAACAAAGACAAAGATATACAAAACAAGTTAATTTCTGAAGGGCTTCAATGTTACCATTACTGTAATAATAATGCTACCCATAATGAAACGTATCAGTATTCTATGGAAACTTTTATTTCTTTAACATTATTTTATTTCAGCCTAAGAAGTCTCAGATCTTTGAAATAATCTAAAATCTAACTCCAGAACATTTTGAAAGATCCACTCAATCTTATATTCTGCTTCTACTCTTTATATTCAACAGCCAAATTACTTTCGATTAACTGTGAGAGGTTGCCACCTAGAGGAAACAAATATAAATACAAATATAAATTTGAGAAATGTTAGTTCCACAATATAATGCAATTTTTTATTTGGGTTAAGTGGTCCTAAAATCAAAATATTAAATGCTCTTACCTGTTTTTTTTTTCTACTTTCTACAACTCTACAAAATTAATAAGAAAGGAAAAATTTCTACCAAATGTAAAACAAAGTCTTAAAAGTGATCAAATGAATTGTGTAAGACAAAGGATGAGTATAAGTATATTTTGAGACAGAGTATATTAACTGCTAAAAGAGAGATTCTAAGCGACATGAAGCTTGCTGCAGACTGACCATATTAGGTTGCAGAGAATCACAAAAGGCATTGTAGTTGAGGCAATACCTGAAAAAACCTGAAAAATAGGCTGCATTTTGAGAAACATTCTAGGTAAACAAACAGCCTAAAACAAAACAAACAAAATACAAAAACCCAGTATGGAAGATGGAATGCTAAAAATTAGGATCAAGGAATCCAAATACAAATGCGTACAGGATAATAACAGATATTCCTGACAAAAAAGCAAGAGTGATTGAAATCACTTACAGTTTCACTTAAAGAAGCAAATGTTAAGGAGTGATTTAAGGTAAAAACAGATAACCTTTATACATACATTAATTCTATTTAGTGCAAATGAGCTAAAATTCAAAATGGGAAGCAACAGTAATTTTTTAGTACTTAAGCAGCAAAATTAACACACCTTTTAAGTATTAGTTAAGACTTTTAAATTTTTTAAACAAAATATGAGGAAACTATCATGTTACATTTTAAATAATCAGATCTAATTTTAGGCCTCATAACTTGAACTATGTCAATGAATAGCCTAAAAACAGTGTTAGCTTTTATGTCTCATGTCTTCATCTCAAGGTGAAGAATATGGATTTCCAGCAATGGTAATGGGTTTAAGTGGGCCATTCAACTATTTCTGTTTCCTTTGTAGCTGTATCGTACACACAAGAAAGCTAGCCCGGATACTGGGCTTCATCCCTAGACATAGAAGAGACAACTTTAGAAAAAAGCTAACTGGTTCGTATGAAAGAAGAATATATCTAAAACTTTTATTCGAATTAGTAATATCCATTGTAACCCGCTCAACACAAAAAAACATTAAAACAATTGTTAATGGAGTTTACTAAAAAAGCAACACCTTTATTTGCTCCCTCAAATAAAAACTTGTCATAATGAAAACTGTAAATACTATAAGTCTAATAAGGAACTATGGTTCTGAAAACTCAGTTTTAAACCATGCTGTATCAGAGCTATGCTGTGGGGCTCTGGATGAAGAGGCTCTGGAGTATACTTCACCCAATTGTCTCTCTTTGGCTTTAAACAGTTGAATGTTATACTCTAACAGGATGTAATATAATATTAAACTATTTTCTCTTACATGAGCTAACTATTCAATTGTCTAAGTGCTTTAAAATATTATTGCTTAGGACAAGAATTAGCTTTTGGAAAGCTGTAAACTACTTCCATTGAATAGATTTATCAGAACCAATTATTAATAAAAATTGTTTCTATTAATGTCACCTAAATTCATCTATGTTGTGCTTTTTTCTCTAATCATCCAACAAATACTAAAGGCAACTTTCCCTTATGATGAAATTATACTTTCATAAAGGGGATGTAGAAGGACATGGCTTAATTTTCTTCTTGAGAATGAAGCAGTTCAGACTTTTGGTTTACAGTAATGTGGTGGACATAGATGATACTTAAACCCTCTGGCTACAGAACATATAAAAATAATGAAGTATAAAAGAATTAAAATAATTGACAAATCTGCAAAAAAGATAAATGAATTAAGCTGAAGCCAGCAGTGAAGCTTATGCATAAAGGAGGTAAGCAAGGGTAGAAGTTGCCCACATACCATAGGGACAGACACAGGTCTTAGAGAGTAGGGTGTGCACTGGACACCATACAGGCCAGAAAGCCCGATGAGAAACCACCCTACATAAAGCCAGCACTCATTAAGTACTGCAGCCAGAGAAACATGGTGAAATATGAGAAAATCCATTCAGCAGAGGCAAGCACTGGTTCTTGGATAGACATATAAACTCATAAACGCACATGAAATCCCTCAGATTTCATTGTTCACAGCCAGCTAACACGGATCTTAGACCTGAATTTACCTATTTGTGTTGGGAAAAAAAAATCTGGCAGAAGATAAACAGAAAATCTTCTTAGAGCAATAGATCTTCAACATAGATTCCAAAAGTTCACAAAATGCTACCAAACATGATTTTTCCCATGAAATCAAAAAACACAGAGGAAAATAGCCACCATAAACTCAAACAAATGACAGAACCAGATTACAAAGAGTCATAAGTTAGAATTATTTAATACAAACCATAAAATTAGTATGTTAACATATTTAAAGGAATAAATAATAAAAAAATCATACAGCAAATTCTTATGTAGTAAACATATACCAAGCACTAATATAAGCACTTTATTCAGATTAATTCTTTAAAACTGTACGGTAATTCCGAGGTAGACACCATCCTTCACTTTTTATAGATATTACTCCCTCTATACAGATACAGAGCGGTTATATAATTTGGCCAAGTTCCCACAGCTAGTCGATGCCAAGGCTCTTGTTTTCTAATCCAACTGGAAACACGAGCTGATGGGCAAGAGCCCATCAAAATTGACCTAGCAGACTTGAAAAAGAACTTAAAACAATTTCCAGAACTGAAAATATAATAACTGAAAAAATAAGCTCAATGAAAGGGTTAAATAGCAGAAGAGATTCAACTGAACCCAGAATTATCAAATTGAAAGAAAGAGGCAAAGAAATTACTCAGAATGCAGCACAAAGAGAGAAAATATGAAAGAGAAGTTAAAACACATGGAATATAAATAAGGTACATCCAACTGGCAATCCATAAGGAGATCACATGGGGGGGATGGAGAAGAAACAACAACTGAAGAAATAATGGTTGAATTTTTTAAAGAGATAAAAGATGTAACACTAAATATACGATATTCTTAAAAAGGCAAAAACAGATTACAAAATAGAAAATACCTACTAAAGTTAAAATAACAAAAGAACACTGTTAACTTTTCCAAAATTCTTCCATGAGATATAAATAGGTGATTCATGAAAAAAATAAAAAACAGAAAAATGGTTACGGAACTTCCATTTCCAGTAATACGGCAGAAAAACAAACATGCTGGATAAATTTTTTTTTCTTTCTCCTCTTCAGAGCAGACAAACTAAGTGAAAATGGGAACCCAAAGAGGTAAACTGAACACCACAGCTGGCTTTCTCTTTGGGTGCAATGCCAAGGGACCTTAGTTTTGGTTTCACAGCCTTGCCAGGGGAAGAGACAAAGCCTAGGATAGAAGACTGTCTGGCATAAAATTGAGATTCGAAAGGAAGGTACATGTGATAGGAAGTGGGCAGTGTGTAAGTTTTAGCAACTAACAAAAATGGTAAAATGGAAATGAGGTAGGTAACATAAGAACTGAGAAGAGTTAAAAGAACACGTACAGAATACCCACAACCACTAGTCATTTCCTCTTCTTTGGCATAATGGCTCTGAAAATTCCAAGGAGAGGCTTTTATCCTCTTTTCTCTCTTCTATTGCATTTGTTTCAGGCATTTAAGCAATCTAATAACATTTTCTTCATTATGAAGCCTTCAAAATTGATGAAAATGTATACAAACCATATTCTTTCAGATCCCCATCACTTAATGATAAGTATAAATAATTACTAAAAAGACTTTTGTAAAAAAGCCTAACAAGTAGCCCAACAAATTTTCTATCAACACTACTACCACCACCACAAGTTTAAGGCAGATTTCCTTCAAATACCTGGCAGCTGTGATCAGTATCCAATCCATCCCAGAGACTCATAAACTGAGCTTTCATCATGGCTGTAGCTTCATGGTCAGAACTTGAGCGGTTTCGTAGAAAGGAGTCTAGAAGGAAAAAATCCTTAACCTTAGAAATTAATAATGAATTATTTACTATTTATATAATTTCAAAGCATTAATCAAAAGTCAACAACTTTATGAAAGGATTACAAAGAAAAGGGTTCAACTATGCCTTTTTACACACTGTTCTGGTATAACAATTTTGGCAAATTATTGGTCAAATTAATACATAATCAATTCACAACCTTCATTTCTTTCCTAAAAACACATTCATGCCAACATATATAAAAGAAGTGAAGGATATGGTACTGAAAGGCTGGAAAAGGATCAAGTAGTATCTGGGAGGAAAGTGTGTGTGCTCTGGCTCTAACTTTCCAGGTTATCTGCATCCTATGTATTCTTAATTATGGGGTCACATCCTTTTTCCTCACACACTTTTCCTGGTAACAAATAAAGATGACATTGGAAAACGTCAAAGCATTATTAAGTGGGAAAATGTAGGACAGAAAATGGTTTAAAACACACATGTTAGCATGCATGTACATAGGTTATACAGGATAAAAAAGCCTTTAAGGAAATACACCAAAATGCTATTAACTTTGATTCTCTCTCAGTGACAGACTTAAGGACAATTTAAATTTTCTCTTGAATTATTCTTTGTCTTCCAAATTATCTATAATGAACATGAAACGCTTTTAAAAGGGGGAAAAACATTTTCCTTCTAGAATGAAAAGAGTGAAAGGTGGTACACATCCTAAGAATGAAAAAAAGACAGCAAACATAAATCCTAGATTTTCTAGTACAATCCTGTTTCAAATGTTTTGTCTTATATTCCTTCAAATCACTGGCATTTCTGAGTAGCTTTCATATTTCAGCATTAAAACTGCAACTTCAATTCTGTCTGTCATACATGTAAGCGGCACAAAAATGCTTTGTAATGTGCTAGGTCCAAGCTTCAAGAAAAACCCTTTTTAAAAAAGTAATTATAGCAAAAATATGTTACCATGACATGACAGTCTTGTGATGGCAAACATATACCTTCGATTTTCTTATATAGTTCCAATTTTGTACAATCTGTCCTACTGTCAGACTATGCATCAAACTAACCCATCTATTACAGATGTAGAAAATCCAGTCATTTTTAAATTGCTTATTTTTTTTAAAGACAAATTGTCTAAGTTCAGCTGCCTACTTAACCACTGTAATTCTGCTATTAATTATTCCTAAATTATCTTCATTACTAAGAAGTGGTTCTGACAAGATGGCTGCTTAAAATAATATGAAAAACTTAAAATGCTGAATAAGTATAAATACCCTAATTATATCAGTAATTAACTAAATGTAAATGGTCTAGAGTCTCCGAGAACACAATTAAGATACTAAACTGGATGTAAAAAGAAAAAAAAAAAAACAACTGTGTGCTGCTTACAAGAGACATACTTTTAAAATAAGGGCTCAGAATGCTGAAAAGGATGGAAAAAGACGTATGTAAACACTAACAAAAAAGCTAGATAAAGCATTTTTTTTAAAAAGTTAATGTATATCTCCTCTGGTGTTCTGAGAGCAATTCCAATGTGGGGACGGGGGCGTTTCCTATACCAACAAGCAATTCTCAGATACCAACAGGCTGTCTGAGAATTCAACGCAATTCTGACAATATTTGCCTGGAGACAGCATCAAATTCTAACAGGTTAAGGGTTCAGTCCTACAAGACTACCCACCATCCCCAGCCTTCCACTTCAGAGCCCAGCAGCAAGCCCAGGTCATGTGAACGACCAAATGTATATTTCTTATAAATCACATCATCTGATAAATACTGCTGGAACAACTGGACATCCATACGCAAAAAAACAGAGCAAGACACATACCTTATGCCTTTCACAAAAATTAACTCAAAATGGATTACAGATCTAAATGTAAAAGACAAAACTATAAAACTTCTAGAAGATAATATAGGAAAAAATCTAGGTGACCTTGGGCTAGGTAATGAGTTTTTACATACAACACCAAAAGCATAATCCATCACAGAAAAAAACAGCTAAGTTGGATTTTATTAAAATTAAAAATCCTACCCTGTGGAAGACAGTGTTAAGAGAAAAGACAAACCACAGACTGGGAAAATACACTTACAAAACACATACCTCATAAAGAACTTGTATCCAAAACATATAAAGAACTCTTAGAATTGAACAATAAGAAAGAACCCAATTAAAAAATGGGCAAAAGATCTGAACAGACACCTCACCAAAGAAGATATACAGATGGCAAATAAACGCTCCATAATATGTTAGGGAACTGCAAATTAAAACAATAATGAGATACCACCACATACTTACTTATTAGAATAGCTAAAATCCAAAAAACTGATAATACCAAGTGCTAGAGAGAATGCAGAGCAACAGGACCTCTCATTTATTTCTGGTGGAACTGCAAAATGGTACAGCCACTTTGGAAGACATTTTGGCAGTTCCTTGAAAAGCTAATTATTGTTTTACCACACGATCCAGCATAGTGCTGCTAGATTTTTACCCAATTGAGGTGAAAACATGTCCACACAAAATCTTGCATATCACTGTCGTTAGCAGCTTTAGTCATAATCACCCAAAACTGGAAACAACCAATACGGTCTTTCAATAGAAGAATTGATAAACAAATTGTGGTAAAAAGATACAATGGAACTTATTCAGTAATAAAACAAAATGAGCTACCGAGCCACAAAACGCATGGAAGAACCTTAAATGCATATTGCTAAGTGACAGAAGCCAGTCTGAAAAAGCTACAGAAGACCATATGACATTCCGTAAAAGGCAAAATCATAGAGACAGTAAAAAGATCCGTGGCTGCCAGGAGTTTGGGAGGGAAGGAAGGATGAATAGGTGGAACACAGGGGATTTTTAGGGTGGTGAAACTATTCTGTATGATACTATAATGGTAGATTTGTCAAAGGCCACAGCACTTCACAACACCAAGAATGAACCTTAATATAAACACGGACTTTAGTTATTAATAATGTACCAATACTGGTTCATAACTGTAACAAATGTACCACACTAATGCAAAGTATTGGCAATAGGGGAAACTGTGTATGAGGGGAGTAGTATATGAGAACTCTGTACTTTCTGTTCGATTTTTTGTAACCTCGAAACTGTTCAAAAGAAGTCTAGTAATTAAAAAAAGAAAGGTTAATGAATATCTGAGATTGCAAGAAAGCAAGGAAACAAATCCGAGAGTTCAGGATAAAAGTGAAATGAAAATAAGAGTGGTAAGAACTTGAAGTGATTACACTGCTGTTTGTGTGTGTGTTTGTGTACATAACAGGTATGCATCTGTAGCATCAGAAGGTTCTGCTTTGATGTTAATATTCATGCTAAAGCCAAGATTCTCAAAAGGATGTACACTCACAGAAAGTGCAGACAAGAAACAAATTCTGCTCACCACTATAGACAGTTAAGGAAGCTTGTCTGTCTTGGCCTGGGCTCTGGGGGGAAATATGTCCATCCTGAAAAATAAAAAACCAGGACCAGAGGGGCTCTGTCTCAGGCTTGAAGTCTAAACTTGTACTGCCATTCAACCCAGGAACGTCCAAGTTGAGAAATTATCATAGAAATTGGTCCTCAGCGATCAGACCCCAGAGGTTCTAAGTTGAAGATGGAAAAACTACTCTGGATCTTCTTAGGCAACACAGAATTCTGATACAAAAACAAACCGTAAGCCAACTAATGTTAGATATGACATAAGGAAACAAATTACTATGAAAGACTTCATAATATAAAAGAGAAGGAGAATTTCAGACAATAGAACAATCCAAAAAAACTATATAAAAACAGTATGTTTAAAATTCTGAAGACATAAAAGGGGCTGAAATTCTAACAAAAGAGCAAGGTACAGTGAAAAAAGATAAATTTGAAAAAGAACCAAATAAAACTTCTAAAGTTCAAATAGAATCAACAAAATACAAACTCAATGATTGTTGAGATTAGACAGACAAGCAACACAATTGCTTTTTACAACTTACTGATTGATTTTTGAGTTGCACTATTTTGTATCAACAAAAAATTTAAAATGCTGCCAATTAAATTATAATACTAGAAGAAAAAACATTGCCAATTAAGTTATAACATGCTATCCCAATTCCAGGGATGTTAAAACGTTAAAAAAAAAAAAAAAAGTACAACAGTATGTTTTAGAACTGATGAAGTATGGTAGAGAGACAGATGATGAAACTGTGAAAATGACTAAAAATTAAGTAGAGAGTTGAAGAATATGTTTTGTTTTTTAATAAAATGAAAGCCATGCAGCATTCAAAAATATATAGTGGCTGAGAAATTTTCCAGAATTAACGAAAGCCATGAATCCTCAGATTAAAAATCACAGTAAGTCTTAGCAGGATAAATAAAAATAAATACAGACGTAGAAAACCATAATCAAATAGAAGAACAATATAAAAATATAACAGCAATTAGAGAGAAAAAATGGACTACTTACAAAGAAATATTAGCTTATAAGTAGAATTCTCAAAATCAACAAGAAAGACTGGAAGACAATGGATTTGTAGTTTCAAAATGCTGAAGGAAAATAATTCTGTATCATTTAAGAGTAAAGGTAGAATTAACACTTTTTCACACAAAACAGACAGAATTCACTATATTCATGATCTTTGCTGAAAGAACATCAACAGATTTCAGTAAGAAGGTAATTAAATCCAGAAAAGGCAGGTACAAGAAGCAACAGTGAGCAAAAAAAAAAAAAAGACAAATGTGGGTCTCTAAACAAGCACTGCCAGTATAAAAATAAAAATATGGAGGGTAGAAAATAAGAGAAAACATTAACAACAACACGTAAGAGATGAAGGGAACAATTACTGTTCAAGAGTTCCAAGGTCCCTGTATTATTTGGGAGGAAGGAAAGCAGAAATGATTAGCCTAGACTTTTAAGACAAGTAGGTATGCTAAATATTTCACTAAAAGAAAAAGAATATATAACTTATAAACTTGTATCAGGGAAAAGGAAATAAAAAAAGCAAAAAAGTCCACTAGATTGGTAAATAGAAAGCACACAGTAATGTGGTAGAAATAAATCTAAATATATCAGCTATCAAAATGAAGGCAAACTAACCACACTACCTGGTTAAAAGTCTTAGATCAAACTTTTTAAAAATCCAGATATATGCTCTTTTGTACAAAATGGACAACAAAAATCTAAAACAGTTGGAGTACATTGACAAGAAAGATGCAGAAGGCAACAAGTAACCAAAGTACTATATATCTAAACCTATCTTTCTCTCTATTTCTATGTAGCCTATATTACATATAACTATAATAGCATAATTAATTCAAAGCTATAGTTTTAATTACTATAGCTTTATCATATATACATAACTTACTGTACCAGGAACAGAACAAAAATATCGATGATCTATAAAATATAGAAAAGTCCACTAACGTAAAAAGTCATGACATACAAAGAAAGATGATCTTATAAGTTGGCAGTCCATATGAAAAAGAATAAAATTATTAGCTAGCCCAGTGATGTAGTGGTTAATTTCTCGTGCTCTGCTTTGGCAGCCTGGGCTTCACAGGGTTGGATCCCAGGTGTGGACTTACACAGTGCTCATTAAGCCATGCTGTAGTGGTGTCCCACACACAAAATAGAGGAAGATTGGCACAGATGTTAACTCAGGGACAATCATCCTCACCAAAAAAAAAAAAGAAAAGAAAAAAGAATAAAATTAGATTTCTACTTCAAACTATATATTTAAAAAATAAGGAGAATATGGGCATAATGAAGTAAACCAGACACAGAAAGTATAAATCATAAAGAAAAAAGACTGATAAATGTAACTACACACATTTAAATTTAAGTCTCTGTATAAGAAACCATCATAAAGTGAAAAGACAAGCCAGTCTAGAAAATATTTGCAATGATAATATGAACAAAGAATTACCATGAAAAATGCAAATAACTCCAAAGAAATGTGGTAATTTACAAGTAAGGAAACCCAAATCACTAAGCAACATGTTAAAAGATGTCCAAATTTACTAATAAGCAGGGAAATACAAATTAAAACAATGATGAGATAATTCATGTTCTTAAATTGGCAAAAATTAACAATGTGTGAAAAAATTAATTTTAGGGAGTTATGAAGGGAAACAACCTATACACTGGAGACAGTGAAAACACGTATAACCATTTTCAACACGTGGAATCCTAGTGAGGTTGAAGATGGAGACATCATACAACCTAACGGTTCAACTTCTAGGTATCTACCCTGGAAATACAAGTGCCTGAGGAAACATGTACATGGAAGTTCACTGCATACTGTTTGAAATAGGGAAAAGAATGAAAAAACTTATCAAGCAGGGGAATAAATAGACTATGGTTTACTCCATAACACAAAAATTATACATAGCATATTAAGATGTTGGTTATCTCTTTTGTTCTATTAATTTGGCCTAATAAATGTTAAAAACTCTATCTGGTCATTTAATATCACCCTTAAAAATGCTGTTTTAAAATGCTCACATAGAAAACATAGCATACCTATTTCATCTATAAAGATGATGGAAGGCTGTAGCTTTATGGCAAGAGAGAAAACAGCGGCAGCCAATTTCTGAGATTCTCCATACCACTTATCTGTCAGTGTAGAAGGCTGAAGGTTAATAAATCGACAGCCAGCTTCTTTGGCTGTAGCCTTGGCAATCAACGTTTTGCCACAGCCTGGAGGCCCATAGAGAAGAACACCTGGAAAGCAACATGTTATTTTATTATTTCCTTTAAGAGAACGAGCCATTTGCTTCAGTTTAAGTGATAATCAACATAATAATTCTGCCCACACTAACATTTTTCCCAATATTCACTTGTGTTTACTAATCATTTTTTATAGTAGAAAAGGAAGGCACCATATTCTCAGCTCAGTGTCAGGGGTGACATGTCCTTGGGATTACAGTACCCTTGTGCCTCCTCCCTTCATGAAAAGGTTCAGTTTAGGATACTAAAGACAATCATCTTGACATCCAAACTCACATCACTCAGTCAATGGTTGGCAAATAAACTCATCTAACACCCTCTACCTTCACAACCTAATGGAGCACTATAGCACAGTGACAACAGCCCAGAGAAAACTGACAACTTCAAAACAGAATGCAGCAAACACTGTTTTGCTGTTGCTGGGAGACTTAAGTTTTAAGGTAATTCTTTAACATATAAGGGATCTAAACAGGTTTGGGTCTTGAGTACTCTGGGAATCATCACCAACTGTTTTTCAACTAAAATGAGGTATAGTTCATTCCCTATAGTAGTTCTAAGTTCATATAATACTAAAATTATGGCTCTATCTATAGATCATCCACAGACAGGCCTGACAAAAACTGTAACCTGTAGACCTCTTTAAATATTTGCTTAATTCAGAGCTTCTCAACTTTTCTCATGTAATATAGCACCTAAAGAACAACAATATCTATAGGAGGCACGCTGGGTAAAATGGAGAGGATTTGGAAGTATCCAAAATATTACTATGTAACATAAATAAAATACAAAATATAAGGGAAGAAAAATATAGTCATGCATTGCTTCACAACAGGGATACATTCTGAGAAATGTGTTGTTGGGCGATTTTGTCATTGTGTGAACATCACAGAGTGTACTTACACAAACCGAAACGGTATAGCCTACTACACACCTAGGCTCCATGGTACTAATCTCATGGGACCACTGTTGTATATGCACTCTGTCATTGAGACTGAAATGCTGTTATGCAGTGCATGACTGTAAATATTTTATATAAAATTTCCCTCACAAAAATTTTCATTTTTTTAAAAAATAAGAAACTTGAGCTTGATTCCATAAACCTAATAAATTTTTTTCACATCAAGCACTTCAAACTAATGTTCAAACTTTTCCTCAAGCATACACAGATTTTTCTAGTGGGCTTAGTAATTCTTAAGACTCAAAACTAACCCAAGTTTAATCATTTTAAACTAAACTTTTCTAAAGCTGATTTTAAAATTTAAAACCATAAACTTCGCCAGTACATGTTAATATTTTCAAGCAGTCTTTGCAATTTTTCATTAAGTTCATGTAAGTGCTACAAATTTAGTTAAGTCAGCTATAATTTAAATCTTCTACTGACACTTTTCTTTTGGATGGCTCATGTGAACAACATAAAACTGGTCTAACAGAATTTAATTTAAATAAAGCTGAAAACATATGGGATGACTGCAGAAGCTTGTAATTATTATTACATTTATCATTCTGAGCATAATTTAATATGGAATGCAGATCCACCAGCAAACATTTATATACATATTACTTGAATCTCAGGATTTTTAGAAGTACTGATGCAAAAAGTCTTCATATTTTGTTGGTTTTGTAGCCACACCATCACTTCATAAACTTATGCAGTACGCTTAGAATGTTATAATTGTTTTGAAGTATTCACTTATCCCTTTGATTATTTCATTCCTAATAGTTTAGTTTTGGTACTTCTTAGCAGAATTAAGTTTTCCCAATATTACTCTTCAGGGATTATAATTAGTGTTGGTAATCGAGCAGTTATTTACTAATGTCTAAAGATTCAACATGCAATGAAAGCTTCTGGATTTCATAGTGTTCTAGAGGATGGCGCCGTGATAGATAAGATGCATATGAGGAGCAAAGTTCACTTCCTGACCCAGGTGCTAGTTACATTAGTGTCAGCTTTATAATTATTCATTCAACTGTTTTATCACCATTTCTCTCCATGTTAAGTTTCACTAAGATTCATATTGTCTCATTTAACATGTTATCAGTGAGTCTAGCAATAATGTCATTTGAAAGTGGCACCTTCTTGATACCCTTTGTTGAAGTAGACTCCACACTGTTAATATTTATGAAGGGTGGTAAATGAGTGGTTCCACAAAGGAATGTGGGGCATTAGGCTTTATTAGTTTTGAAACCTTTTAATTAGTTTTTTTGAGTTTAGTCTGATACTTCTATAACTGTTTTCAACAAAATAACTGTTTATCTGGAGCTTTGTAAGGCTTAAAAATTTAAATCCCTTTTTAAGATGGATGTTTTTGGTAAGGGCTTTGCTTTATAAGTACTGCATGCAAATAAAAGATTTAGGATGAAGAAAAGAAGTATTAGGGCAAACAGATCCAAATTAGAGATAATCCTCATTAGTAACAAATATATTACCTTATTAGCGAACAATTTTTCTTTCTTTTTTGGACTAGTTTAGTGACTTTCAAACTTCAATAAAAATTTTGTCCAAATGTTGGAAAAATAAATATCTTTAAAAATTAAATCTATTTTAATATAAAGTACTCAGGAAGGGGAATGTAGGCCTTTATAGGTTCAGAAAATCAATTTTTCAAAATATATTTTTCTTAGGTGATTAACATTTTTAAGAATGCATCAACACATGGAATATGATGACATTCACATAAAACTTATGCACCAAAATGATTACTGAATTCAGAGTTTACAGACAGAGCCATGGAGTATTTAAATAGCATTTTTTAACTGTTTTAAATTTTTAAATGTTTGGAGGAAAAAAAGGGTTACTTTTTTAATACAACCATCAATATTTTATGGCATCTTCTTATAACCAATTAGAGGCATAACAGCTCTATGTGATCCTATTAGTTAAGTATGATTTCACGTGTTGCATGGATAGTACATAACAAGGTATTCTCAAATTTTCTTTTTGTAGACTGTGAGGCAGTCACTTTCAGCTTAGAAAGCAATCAACTCCCCAGGGATAACATAAAATTGAAGTAAAGCAATGACTCTAACCTAGGTAACCTACTTCCAGTCCAAAAATGGAACAAGGATGGTATGCAACTGATCTTATACTCTGCTTCTGTACACTAATATCCAATTTATGTTGAGTGTCAACAAGTAAATCAATGACTTTTCAAGCTTTTGTTCTTGATAAAAAATTTTCCAAAAATGCAAACCTGGAAAAGCTCAAAAAGTAAAACTTTAGATTACGTATCAGGAGATACTCACGTAACTTAGAAAAATTTTAAATACACACAGGAGCCACCTCCAGTTTTGGATAATGCTTTCAAATAAGCAGCAGATTTAACCAGAACAAGTATCTCCTCATAATTTTGTATCTTTTATGCTAATCAGGGCTTTAAACCAAGTCTAACTGGTGGAGTCACCCAATTACCTGGACTGAGACGTCGCTGATGAGAAAAGGAGCTTTCTCTAAGAGTATATAAAAAACATTTTACTTTCCTAAATTCACTAACATTGTGAAACCCAGACATGAAATTCACAAAATTTCTTTTTTGTTCAGACTCAAACAACCTGGAAGAGGTTAGTCAAGAACATAATTAAATAATCCAACTTTTACCTTACTTTTTTGATCTGGGCTCAAATAAATAATTAGAAATTTTCTTTGGGGGAAAAAACCCAAATAAACTAAATGCTTTTTGTTAGAAAGAAAAAAGCAGCTCTGCTGTTTCAGAAAATAAAAAAAATACATAATAAACAGTTTTGTTTTAGTTAACGAAAAGAACATGTCACTTTTGGTAATAACTGTCATTCTCTCTCACAAACAAAAATCATCTACTTTATAAAAATGTACAGGTATTGGCTTCAATTACGTTTGAAATATAAATTAATGCACTTATGATACAGCTTCAAAATCAGTATGATTATAAGCAACTACAACTTACACATAGCGCTATTTTGATATTTCTAAAAATCCCACTTTTTTTGAAAAATCCTTGTGTCTAATAATTTGAGTTCAGTCTTGACTAGTAACATAAATCAAACCTGTCTAGTTTTGGAAACCTGTCTAGTTAGTGGAAGAGAAGCTTCCACTAAATGGAAAAAAATAAGCTACCCTATAGCATTTGTATCTGAAAGCCACGGTAACACACCTCTATTTAGCTCCCACTGTCAATTATCATGTAAGCTCCATTTCAATCACCTTTAACCCTTAAATATGATTAATATTTGAATGAACAAGAATAAAAGTACTACATTTAAGGATGCAGTCATAAGTACTCTCACTTCTTGAGTTCTAAGGTTTTCAAAGTGATGGCTATCCAGGAATAGGAGAAGTTTCCCTTTATTAAAAATAAGTAGTATTTAGGGGCCAGCCCGGTGGTGCGGGAGTTAGGTTTGCACATTCCACTTCAGCGGCCCGAGGTTCGCCGGTTCGGATCCCAGGTGTGGACACGGCATGGCTTGTCAAAACAAGCTGTGGCAGGCGTCCCACATATAAAGTAGAGGAAGTTGGGCATGGATGTTAGCTCAGGGCCAGTCTTCCCCAGCAAAAAGAGGAGGATTGGCAGCAGATGTTAACTCAGGGATAATCTTCCTCAAAAAAAAAAAAAGTAGTATTTAACTTCTAGTTCATTTGCAGTTCAGTATTTCCCCAAAAAAATCACTGAAATCTAAAAATAATTAAGATTACTAAAAAGAAAAAAAATCACTAGAATTGTGAAACACCAAAAAGAAGTCTTATCTTGAAAACAAAAAAACTTATATTGTGATTTTGGATTATTTTTTAACTTTGATTTCCCAAATCTCATTTACTTGGAAGTAATAAAAATGAGTTTAAAATAAAGGGATTATTTTGACATGTAACTACAGGGAAAAAAATTTATCTAAATTTGGGAAGCTAAAGAATGAGCAGTTATGTTAAAACTATTATTTATAAAACAGTTCACACGATCTCAGCATTCTCTTGAAAATCCATCAAGTTCTATAATGGCAGAAAGTTCCAATGTTTTCTAAGTTTTTAATGCTTTAGCAAATATAAACTTTTACCATACCTTTTGGAGGCTGCAGAAGCCTGGAATTTTCAAACAAATGCTTCTTTTTGATAGGCAAGATGACTGTGTCTTTCAGATCTGTAATGACATCATCTAAACCTGCTATATCACTCCATGTAACCTGGTAAAAGGTAAAATCAACATGAGTTTCACAAGTAATGTATACTCACTGAAATTAAAAAATCCCCCTCAACTGGCAAACATTAATCTGATAATTACACATAACAAAAGATTAAAATGTTGTATTAATGCGAGTAAAGACTTTTCACAGCAACAATGAGATTATTAAATTGTTATGAAACTGTAAAAAGGAATTTAATAGTCAACAACTTACTATTAAAAAAAAGTACTAGGGCCAGCACTCAAAATTCCACAGGGATTTAATAACTGAATTCACTCCATTTAAGAGGGAGAAATACTCTGCCAAGAAGACTGAGAACCAGCTCAGACAGATAATTCAGCACTGGCCGAGGGGGAAGAACTCATCAGGAGTGTGCCTAATTCATATACGATGCTGCCAAATACAACAGTCATGAATTTTTGAAATAAGGTCTATATCCATCAAACTGGATTTCTGAATTTTATTAATCAAAATTGTGTCAAAACTTATGTCTTAATAAACAGTAAATAGGAGATACTACATACTTCCAAAACAGACACAGCTTGTGTACTTTAAAGCCTTCTGACTCAAGTTAAAAAAATTTTTTTGGAAATAAACTAACCTAAAACGACCTAAAAAAAATCTTCGACAATCTAGCTCTAATCTGATAGAGCAAAAGGGGTGGAGGTGGGGCCATCAGAAGTAATATTTACAACAGATTTACTTTCTTTACCATCTAAAATAAAAAAGGTGAAAACCAACAGCCGAATCTGAAAAAAATCATCACACAGTTTCACTAGAGCTATGAAAAAAACTGGGTACAGCCTTAGTCAGACACAAATGTAGGCAGAAATATAGGTAAGAAAGTACCATTGTAAATTTATAAATCAAATTCAGAGGATTAATTCTGGGAGCATGTATGTCTCTGTGCACATAGATATTAAAAGACGTAGATTTTTATTTCCTAGATTTGGAGAAAAGGATATCTTATTTCATTCTACTCACTTATTTATACCTATTGTTACAAAATTTATTTATATCTGCTGTTACAAAATATTCACATAGGACTTTAGAGTTTATAAATTACATTACTCTGATCCTCAAAATAATCCTTTGAACTAAGTAGAGGAGGTATTACACTGCCCCTGGATTATACAGGAGGGAACTAAAACTCAAAGAGGAAATAATCTGTCAAGGCCATGCATGGAAAAACTGCGATTCAGAATCTTGTGTTGTCTATCATATTTTATCAGTAAAATCTACATTTAAACTCCAAATCAAATATCCACATGACTTAAAACAGTACATTTTATATGCCACAAAGGTAAATATATAAAAGTATAAGATTAACTAAACAAACGTGTAAAAAGTTAACATAGCAAGCCTGAGACTATTATCCTTAGAAAGACCTGCTTGCAAGGCTGGCCTCTGGCTGCAGTATGGGAACTTCAATTTCGAGAGAGTTCACACTATTCCCTTATAAAAACAGCTCACTGTATCTAAACTGTGCAAACAATATGGTTTATGATGAATACCTGTTTTTCTTCTGGGAGTCTAGAATTTTGGTAGATGCTAGGAAGATGGAGTCTACATGACCAGTCCCAGTTAAAACCCTGGGCATTAAGTCTCTGAAGAGTTTCCCTGATGGATAGCATTTTACACGTGTTCTCACAACTCACTGTTGGAGCAATTAAGTGCATCCTGGGTGACTTCAGTGAGAGAAGACTCTAGGAAGCTTGTACATGATTTCCTCCAGACCTCATCTCATGTCCCTCTTTCCCTGCTGATTTTGCCTTGTATCCTTCTGCTGTAATAAATCATATTCCTGCGTATGACTACGCTGAATCCTGTGATTCTTCCTAGAGAATCATCACACTTGGTCACGGTCTTCGGGACCCGACACAAAATGACAGACAAAAAAAATCTTAAAAGATTAAAGATACATACATGCATGTTAAGAGGATCTACCAGATGAGCAGCAATACTCATTTCATATTCTGAAAGCTTCACATTTTTCACACCAATTTGCTTCATCAATTTTTCTGCCTAGAAAGAAGAAACAAGCAACCTCTTTTAGTTTGATATTTAGATACTAGGACTTCAAAACAGATATCTGTGAAGTCTAAAAAGCAATGGATATATAGAGTTATCCAGAGATATTCTAGGCTCCTTGAGCTTATCCTTCTCAATCGTAAGCCTTTCCTGGGTAAAGAAAAGATCTGAGGGTCTACTCCACAGAAACCAGGGCAATTTAAATCAGCTTTTGGGAAATAAGAAAATAGGGTACATGATGGTAGAGACATATATAAGGCCTTGAATTGCTCCAATAAGACTCTAGGGTCCAACCTGAGTCCTCTTTCCTAGTAGGACTACCATGACAGGTGCAGATAAAACTTCAAAATGAAAGACTGAGGAGTTAAGGATATTAAGAAATGGACAAATGGAGTTTCTTTCTTTAAATTAACAGAGTATCTGAAAACAGGTGCCAAACTTCCTTCAAATTACCCAGGTATCTAGAATGAATGTCCATATCTATCTAATTTCAAATTATTCTGAGATTGCTGTCCCTTTTAGTTAAAGTCAATTCCTGGGGCTAGGCAATGAGTGATAATAAAAATAATTCTGAATTAGAAGTACATTTCCATATACTTTAGAGCAGAGCAAAACTAGCCTTAAATCTATGAGTTCCAGCAATGCAACAAAGCTTTTGATTAAAATAATGATGATAATGATAAATAATCACTGAGTGTGCCAAATATTATGCCAAAATACTGTAAATGAATCAACTCATTGAATCTTCAGCGTGATCCTATGAGGGAGGTACAATTTTTCCCCATGACAGTAAGAGAAACTGAAGTTCACCTTGGATTACATAATTTGCCTTAGGTTAAAAGTTAGCAAATGGAAGAGGCAACATACGAATCCAGGCAGCCCAACTCTACAGCCCATACTCTCACCGGTACACAGATTACTTTGGTTTCCCCAATTATAAGATGGGAATTTGTGACCACTAATGAGTCTTTAAAAATCTATAGATAACATATTCAAATTTCAATTAAGTGAACATTTTTAGGAATGAAGGTGTTCTGGTAAATCATATTTACCTAAATTTTTGTTGTTACATTTTCCTAAAATACTTTTGATTATATGAGATCTTGCTGTTCATCAGGGGTACTGCTGCTCTGAAAGGAAATTTACATCACACAGCATTATGGATTAGTTAGAGGATTAGGAAAAATGTGTGTTGATCATATCCTAGCAATATAGCAGTTTTTCATATGTGCTATAAACCACATCATTTTTCCTATTTAGCTACCCTCCTCGTAAAATTACTGAATCAATGGATAAAGTAGCCTTTTCCACGTTCTTTTATCCCTTTCTTGTAAATAAGTTCTCTTTCACTGACTTTAAATCTTTTTATATGTCAGCTATGAAAGGTATCCTATTTTAGTATCTATAATAACATTAATTTACTCTTCTTTTTCATTATGCTTCTATACATGTGAAGTCATCCCACATGTGTTCTTTTTAGGCCATGATCTAAAACAATAGTTCTCAACCAGGGGTGATTTTGCTCCCCATGGGACATTTGGCAATGTCTGCAAATACTTCTGGTTGTCACAACTTGGGTAGTGGGGAGGCTGCTACTGGAATCTAGTCAGCAGAGATAGGGATGCTGCTAAACATTCTAGAAGGCACAGGATAACCTGTCCCCTACTGTCTCCACTCCCAAATTATCTAGCCCAAAATATCAACAGTCCTGAGCTGAGAAATCCTGCTTTATCCCCCACTAACTAGTCCCCCTTAAAATATCTAGGCCACAACTGCCTCTTGTTTTAAATAACAACAACCTTTTTTTATATCTGGGATTTCCTAAATAAAAATTATCAACTATGTTGTTTACGTTTATAGAGATAGAAAATGCTGTAGTCAAGTTTACCTAGAATCTTTTCCCCCACAACAGACATTGAACAACGTCTTCAGGTGGCATTAATAACACTGACAGAGGGGCTGGCCCGGTGGCACAATGGTTAAGTTTACACGTTCTGCTTCAGCAGCCTGGGGTTTGCTGGTTTGGATCCCAGGTACAGACCTATGCACCGCTTGTCAAGCCACGCTGTGGCAGGCGTCCCACATATAAAGTAGAGGAAGATGGGCACAGAGGTTAGCTCAGGGCCAGTCTTCCTCAGCAAAGGGAGGAGGATTGGCGGTGGATGTTAGCTCAGGGCTAATCTTCCTCAAAAATAAATAAATAAATAAAATGAAAAAAAATAACACTAACAGAAACGAAATGAACATTTATTGAGCACCTACCACATACCTGGCACTGTGCTGGCTACTTTATTGTCAACCCTCAAAACCATTCTGAGAGCTTGCTACAATTATTCTCATTTTTCAGATGAGGAACTCAAGGGTCAGAGAAATTAAAAGAACTGCCAAGATTACACAGCTAGAACTGGCATTACCAGAGCTCAAACCCTTATTTGCCTAATTTCAAAGCCCATGTTCTGTTGAAACACTAATATTCCTCATGTGGGAGAGCAGAATATGGTTAGCAAATAAATGAATGAAAAGAAAGCACTCTAAAACACATTATACCAAGACCAAACTGTCTTCCAGGAATAAGTTATCCAATTATCTAGCTTTGATACCTTTAATTCAGCCCCTATTGCTAAAATGTTTTATCTAGAAATACAAAATTATGATTGGACTACTCCAAAAATGGCTTATATTCATGCACTGCTTTATCATTTACAGCTTAATGACAATTATATTTTCTAGTCACCAACATTTGCTTGGTTTTTAATTTAAAGTGGGTTTCTTCAAGTAGTAGCTGTCTCTGTGGAAGGAAGAAGGGAGTCAGAAGTAGGAGGGAAACTTACTTTTTACCGTATAACTATCTTTTGAACTGTTTCATAATAGTTTTTATCCTTTCATGGTATTTCACTTTTTAGCCATGTGAGGTAGAAAATAGTAAACTAATATGTTTACCTAGAATGGGGAAGGAGGAAATGGAGAAAAGGAGCAGCAGAAAAGAAACACTCATTTCATGCAGATTCTAAAAGATTCAAAAAATTGATTGTTCTTTTGGAAGAATAATTTTAGAAAAGTTAGAGATGGAATTAACAAGTTAAGAGTGAAAATATGCAGAAGACCTAATTAAACTTAAGTCAAAAACCTTTTACTGAGGTCGTAGCTAAAGGACTCCAATTTAAGTGTACACAGATGAAATCACTGATTTAAAGCTTTTAAAAATGCATTTAAATAGGAAACAGCAAAGAATTTGAGTAATTATCTTTATATACTGGGTATAAGCCCTTATCACAAATTTACATTAAAATTCTAGAAAACATTGTTTTCTAGACATGCAGAGACGGTCATCTTCTCTTTTAGGGTTGGTGCACTTAAATTTCTTCTTTCCAATTTTACTGCACGTATTCTGAAAGTTACTAGGTAAGATGGCTTTCCACTACAGTGCTCTTCTACTACACTTGCGTAGAAAACACAATACTGCACTGACTTTTTCTCCTCGAGTTTCCCTCCATTGTTGCTTTTCTTTCCTCATCAACCATTTCTCTTGGCCACTGAAGCAACACCAACTGCTTATTCCTTACTGATTTCCTATTTAAATTTCCTTATTTACTTCAACTTCTCATTCTTCTAAGATGAAGGTTCAGTGAACAATAGTTTTAAAACCCACTTGACTGATAATGCAGTTCACAATGCCTTCCTGGCATCAACAAACGTTAGCTCTGCCAAACGGTAACTGGCATTCTATGATGGCTGCTCTTAAAAATACCTGGCAGGTGAGAGTTCCAATTATTTTTAAGGTTTCAGTGTATCATCTCTTCACAAAATATTTCAGCTATGACTTCTCTCAAAATAACTGAAAAGAAGTTTTGAAGACCACAGCATAATGATAGGACTAAAAATAGGAAGACATTAAGTTAAACAACTAAGGCCACAGTATATGACCTTCACGTATATGAAGAATTCTCAGTAGTAAATCTTTTCTGGTCTTTGACAACTAAACTACAATCTCAGGAATATTATATAGCTTAATTAAGATGCTAAACAAAATACTGTATTCATAAATGCCCAGAACAGGTCAAGCACTGCTATTCATCCCATACTTGAAAGCTCTTAAGAGTAAACCTAGATATTCCCTGTTTTTCTACATCCCAGTTAAGCCAACCCACCCTTTCATCACAGATATACCTATCAAAACTCCTCTATTACATCTAAAATACAATCCAAGCATCACCATGTGCCTAGAAAATCCCTGTCCCTGTGTAACACTCTGCTGAAACCATCCTCTCTCTCATTATTTATTATCCCACATTTCACCAGGCCGGTGAAACTGAACACTTGAGCAGACATCACAGAGGAGCATATCAGCATCGAAAATAGACATATAGAAATGCTTCAGATAGAGCGGGAGGGAGAACTAAGACTAAAACGAAATGAAGAAAATCTCCGAAAACTATCCAATTCAATGAGGACATGCAACACAAGAATTATAGGTATTCAAGGAGAACAGAAGAATGGAGCAGAAAGCTTGTTCAAAGAAATAACAGCAGAGAACTTCCCAAACCTAGGGAAAGAAGGGGAAATCTATCTGTGTGGAAGAGGCTTCCAGATCTGCTAGATATGTCAACATAAAAAGACCTACTGCAAGGCATATAATAGTAAAACTGGCAAAAATGAATGACAAAGAAAGAATACTAAGGGCAGCAAGGCAGAAGAAAATAACCTACAAAGGAACCCCTATCAGGCTTTCAGTGTAAGGGTTCTCAGCAGAAACCTTACAAGCTAGGAGAGAATGGAATGACATATTCAAATCTTTAAAAGACAAAAATCTTCAGCCAAGAATACTCTATCCAGCAAAAATACTCTATCCAGCAAAAATATCCCTCAGATATGAGGGAGAAATAAAAACTTCCCCAGACAAGCATAAGCTAAGGGAGTTCAGAGCCACGAGACCCTCTTACTCCTCCCAAGACATCCTCAAGAAGACCCTCATACCTGAAAAAAGAAAAAGGGAC